ATTGGTCTTCAAAATCAAATAGATATACTCTCAGCGTATACAGATAAATGGCAGTTGAGTGTGAATCTAGATAAAACAAACATCGTTATATTCCGAAGAGGTGGTCCTTTGTCGGCTAGAGAGAAATGGTTTTAAAGATAAACGTATGAATGTTGTGAATGATTATAAATACCTTGGCATATTGTTTACCCATACGCTGAATCTGAATAAGTCCGTACTTAACCTGGCGAGGAGAGCAAAGAAAGCTCTTTTACAACTTCACTCTGTTGTTCCTATGCTCGGTCTTGTTCCACCGACTATTTACTTCAAATTATTTGACTCTCAGATACAACCGATTTTACTGTATGGATCTGAAATGTGGGGTTTTAAAGAGTATTATACCATAGAAAAAAATTCATTTGCTTGCCTGTAAAAGTTTCTAAATGTTGGTTTGTCAACACCAAATGTTATGGTTTATGGTGAATGTGGGAGGTTCCCATTGTACATATCATCTTATTGTCGTTGTTTAAAATATTGGTGTAAAATAATTAATATGCCTGAACATCGTTTACCTAAAAAGCTTTCAATATGCTTTTACATCTTGATTATCTTGGAAAGAATAACTGGACATCTCATATTCGCACCTTACTATTTAGATATGGTTTTGGTTGTATTTGGTTATCACAGACAGTTGGCAATGCAAATATGTTTATTAAACAGTTTCGTATGCGGGCTATTGATATGTTTAAGCAGGAATGGCATTCAACTATCAATGAAAGTTCTAGATACGATTCATATCGTCAGTTTAAGTCGTTGCTTGAGCCAGAGTGTTATCTTGCTCACCTTCAATACAGAAATATTCGCAATGCTTTTATACGGTTTAGATTAGGCCTTAATGATTTATTAATTAACCGTGGAAGATATGTTTCTATGGAAAAACCCAAAGATTATGTCCATTCTGTTTTATTATTGAAGACGAATTCCATTTTATGTTTATTTGTCCTGTATATGAAAATCTAAGAAATAAGTATCTACCGCAACTGTCTTTATCTCAAATCAACGTTAATCTATTGTCTTCCTTACTTTCCAGCAAAGAACCTCCAAAACAACACAAAGTTGCTCTATTTATCTACAATGCATTTTTGTTAAGAAAAGAATTGATAAGTTAGAAAATTGATTATATATGCCATTGTTAAGATGTATCTCTTTTGTATATGGGCCTATGGCCTTTCATACAATAAAATATTGAATTGAATTGACTAACGTTTGGTTGTCTGTGTTCCCAGACTTCAGCTGAGCTGTTCTATACCAAGGGCATCATGTCCACACATACCCCTAGAGACTAACGTTTGGTTGTCTGTGTTTCCAGACTTCAGCTGGACCTGTTCTATACCAAGGACATCATGTCCACACATACCCCTAGAGACTAACGTTTGGTTGTCTGTATTCCCAGACTTCAGCTGACCTGTTCAAGCAAAAGTTAGTCTCTAGGGGTATGTGTGGACATGATGCCCTTGGTATAGAACAGGTCAGCTGAAGTCTGAGAACCCAGACAAGCAAACGTTAGTCAATAGGGCTATGTGTGGACATGATGTCCTTGGCATAGAACAGGTCAGCTGAAGTCTGGGAATACAGACAAGCAAACGTTAGTCTCTAGGGCTATGTGTGGACATGATGTCCCTGGTATAGAACATGTCCAGCTGAAGTCTGGGAACACAGAGAACCAAACGTTAGTCTCTAGGGCTATGTGTGGACATGATGTCCTTCGCATAGAACATGTCCAGATGAAGTCTGGGAACACAGACAAGCAAACGTTAGTCACTAGGGCTATGTGTGGACATGATGTCCTTGGTATAGAACAGGTCAGCTGAAGTCTGGGAATACAGACAACCAAACGTTAGTCTCTAGGGGTATGTGTGGACATGATGTCCTTGGTATAGAACAGGTCCAGCTGAAGTCTGGAAACACAGACAACCAAACGTTAGTCTCTAGGGGTATGTGTGGACATGATGCCCTTGGTATAGGACAGGTCAGCTGAAGTCTGAGAACACAGACAAGCAAACGTTAGTCATTAGGGCTATGTGTGGCCATGATGTCCTTGGCATAGAACAGGTCAGCTGAAGTCTGGGAACACAGACAAGCAAACGTTAGTCTCTAGGGCTATGTGTGGACATGATGTCCTTGGTATAGAACAGGTCAGCTGAAGTCTGGGAACACAGACAACCAAACGTTAGTCACTAGGGCTATGTGTGGACATGATGTCCTTGCTATAGAACAAGTCCAGCTGAAGTCTGGGAACAGAGACAACCAAACGTTAGTCTCAAGGGCTATGTGTGGACATGATGTCCTTGGTATAGAACAGGTCCAGCTGAAGTCTGAAAACACAGACAAGCAAACGTTAGTCACTAGGGGTATGTGTGGAAATGATGTCCTTGGCATAGAACAGGTCCAGATGAAGTCTGAGAACACAGACAAGCAAACGTTAGTGATTAGGGCTATGTGTGGACATTATGTCCTTGGCATAGAACAGGTCAGCTGAAGTCTGGGAACACAGACAACCAAACGTTAGTCTCTAGGGGTATGTGTGGACATGGTGTCCTTCGTATAGAACAGGTCCAGCTGAAGTCTGGAAACACAGACAACCAAACGTTAGTCTCTAGGGCTATGTGTGGACATGATGTCCTTGGTATAGAACGGGTCGTCTGAAGTCTGAGAACACAGACAACCAAACGTTAGTGATTAGGGCTATGTGTGGACATTATGTCCTTGGCATAGAACAGGTCAGCTGAAGTCTGGGAACACAGACAACCAAACGTTAGTCTCTAGGGGTATGTGTGGACATGGTGTCCTTGGTATAGAACAGGTCCAGCTGAAGTCTGGAAACACAGACAACCAAACGCTAGTCTCTAGGGCTATGTGTGGACATGATGTCCTTGGTATAGAACGGGTCGTCTGAAGTCTGGGAACACAGACAACCAAACGTTAGTCACTAGGGCTATGTGTGGACATGATGTCCTTGGTATAGAACAGGTCCAGCTGAAGTCTGAAAACACAGACAAGCAAACGTTAGTCACTAGGGCTATGTGTGGACATGATGTCCTTGGTATAGAACAGGTCCAGCTGAAGTCTGAGAACACAGACAACCAAATGTTAGTGATTAGGGCTATGTGTGGACATGATGTCCTTGGCATAGAACAGGTCAGCTGAAGTCTGGGAACACAGACAAGCAAACGTTAGACTCTAGGGCTATGTGTGGACATGGTGTCCTTGGTATAGAACAGGTCCAGATGAAGTCTGGGAACACAGACAACCAAACGTTAGTCTCTAGGGCTATGTGTGGACATGATGTCCTTGGTATAGAACGGGTCAGCTGAAGTCTGGGAACACAGACAACAAAACGTTAGTCACTAGGGTTATGTGTGGACATGATGTCCTTGGTATAGAGCAGGTCAGCTGATGTCTGGGAACACAGACAACCAAACGTTAGTCTCTAGGGCTATGTGTGGCCATGATGTCCTTGGCATAGAACATGTCCAGCTGAAGTCTGGGAACACAGACAAGCAAACGTTAGTCTCTAGGGCTATGCGTGGGCATGATGTCCTTGGCATAGAACATGTCCAGATGAAGTCTGAGAACACAGACAAGCAAACGTTAGTCACTAGGGGTATGTGTGGACATGGTGTCCTTGGTATAGAACAGGTCTGCTGAAGTCTGGGAATACAGCCAACCAAACGTTAGTCTCTAGGGGTATGTGTGGACATGATGTCCTTGGTATAGAACAGGTCCAGCTGAAGTCTGGAAACACAGACAACCAAACGTTAGTCTCTAGGGGTATGTGTGGACATGATGCCCTTGGTATAGAACAGGTCAGCTGAAGTCTGGGAACACAGACAAGCAAACGTTAGTCTCTAGGGCTATGTGTGGACATGATGTCCTTGGCATAGAACAGGTCAGCTGAAGTCTGGGAACACAGACAACCAAACGTTAGTCACTAGGGCTATGTGTGGACATGATGTCCTTGGTATAGAACAGGTCCAGCTGGGAACACAGACAACCAAACGTTAGTCACTAGGGCTATGTGTGGACATGATGTCCTTGGTATAGAACAGGTCCAGCTGAAGTCTGGGAACACAGACAACCAAACGTTAGTCTCTAGGGCTATGTGTGGACATGATGTCCTTGGTATAGAACAGGTCCAGCTGAAGTCTGAAAACACAGACAAGCAAACGTTAGTCATTAGGGCTATGTGTGGCCATGATGTCCTTGGCATAGAACAGGTCAGCTGAAGTCTGGGAACACAGACAAGCAAACGTTAGTCTCTAGGGCTATGTGTGGACATGATGTCCTTGGTATAGAACAGGTCAGCTGAAGTCTGGGAATACAGACAAGCAAACGTTAGTCTCTAGGGGTATGTGTGGACATTATGTCCTTGGTATAGAACAGGTCCAGCTGAAGTCTGGAAACACAGACAACCAAACGTTAGTCTCTAGGGGTATGTGTGGACATGATGCCCTTGGTATAGAACAGGTCAGCTGAAGTCTAGGAACACAGACAAGCAAACGTTAGTCTCTAGGGCTATGTGTGGACATGATGTCCTTGGCATAGAACAGGTCAGCAGAAGTCTGGGAACACAGACAACCAAACGTTAGTCACTAGGGCTATGTGTGGACATGATGTCCTTGGTATAGAACAGGTCCAGCTGGGAACACAGACAACCAAACGTTAGTCACTAGGGCTATGTGTGGACATGATGTCCTTGGTATAGAACAGGTCCAGCTGAAGTCTGGGAACACAGACAACCAAACGTTAGTCTCTAGGGCTATGTGTGGACATGATGTCCTTGGTATAGAACAGGTCCAGCTGAAGTCTGGGAACACAGACAACCAAACGTTAGTCTCTAGGGCTATGTGTGGACATGATGTTCTTGGTATAGAACAGGTCCAGCTGGGAACACAGACAAGCAACAGTTAAGACTGATTCAGTTCAAGCCAACAGTGGTGTAAAACACGACAAATAAATACTCGCAGTTTTCCATTGTTGGTTATTTTTGGCTCTGTGTCGAGGAAGGGGATACACTTGAGCTCCAGCTGCGCATGGAAGATGGGATGGGTGAAGTAGTCCCCCACCCACTTGGACACCATCACCGCCACCATGACTGGGAGTAGAACCTGCACATCGTTAGTCAGCTCCATCTAGAAACACAAACCCACTCCACTAAACCCTTCATGTACATCAACCGATGTTTTGTTAATGATTCCAGTGTTTGCTTGTTCATGCCCACAATTGACTGGCCTTCGTATGGTTTTGTGACTGGTTGCCACCGCTTACCATTTTGCAAACACCCAGAGTGTTTGATAATGACTCATTTTAAGGCACACGCTTATGATGAAGTCGGAGTCTTACTATGGGCTGTATCAAATACATTATCATTTGAAAATCATTTTATGTGATTCATTTTCAGCCACCATCAAACATAGGTATATACTTTCTTTTGCCAGGTAGTGTACCCTGTAATGATAACAGTTCGTTAAAGGTTGCTGTTCATCAATAGTAACCTTCTTTCAATGAATACGGTAGGGTAAGGTAGAAGTAGTAACTGTAGCAATTCTAACCATTGATTAACCATTAACCTTCTGAAGGTAGCTGTTCTTGAGTGGTATCTTTCTCTGTGTAACTATCCTTCACGACACAAATTGTTTAGTGTACAACCCGGTCACACCAGCTGTTAGTCTCGATGTAGAAATCACACACAGACACCAGTTGCTCAAAATACATATGTTTTGCCTTAAGTTTAGTCAAATCTTCTTTGTCAAGCCCTTTATGCAGTGTAAAACTGCACTGAATGAATACATTGTACACCTTTTTCCAAAACCATTTCAGCATGGTGGTTGACGTTACTATGTTCTCATTTTTGTTTATTTCTGACCTAAGCACGGACACTCACCATGATGACAGTGACAGCCAGGGTCAGTCTGGACACGCCCCCAAAGAAGGAGGCGGCCCCGATGAGGGCGAAGGCTCCCGGGTCCATCCACGCCCAGTAACCATTAGTCTCGATGTGGACGCCAAACATTGAGACCAGGATCATACCGACTATGCGACCGTACAGGGAGCCGATTAACCTGAAAATATATCATGATCTGGACAAGTTGCTTATAACACAGGACCAGCTACTTACAACACGGGGACCAGCTACTTACAACATGGGGACCAGCTACTTACAACACGATGACCAGCTACTTACAACATGGTGACCAGCTACTTACAACACAGGGACCAGCTACTTACTGCACAGGTACCAGATACTTACAACACGGGGACCAGCTACTTACAACATGGGACCAGCTACTTACAACACAGGGACCAGCTACTTACAACACGGGGACCAGCTACTTACAACATGGGACCAGCTACTTACAACACAGGAACCAGCTACTTACAGCACTGGGGCCAGCTACTTACAACATGGGGACCAGCTTCTTACAACACGGGGACCAGCTACTTACAACATGGGGACCAGCTACTTACAACATGGGACCAGCTACTTACAACATGGGGACCACACATGGGGGGACCAGCTACATACAACATGGGGACCAGCTACTTACAACACATGGGACCAGCTACTTACAACACGGGGACCAGGGGACCATGGGGCCAGCTACTTACAACATGGGGACCAGCTACTTACAACATGGGGACCAGCTACTACTTACAACATGGGGCTACTTACAACATGGGACCAGCTACTTACAACATGGGGACCAGCTACTTACAACATGGGGACAGCACCAGCTTACAACAGCCAGCTACTTACAACATGGGGACCAGCTACTTACAACACGGGGACCAGCTACTTACAACGTACAGGCACCAGCTACTTACAACACGGGGACCAGCTACTTACAACACGGGGAACAGCTACTTACAACATGGGGACCAGCTACTTACAACATGGGGACCAGCTACTTACAACATGGGGACCAGCATGCCACAGGACACGGAGGTTCCAGAAGACCAGCACACAGCCAGGAAGAAGTAGGGGAAGGCTGTAAACAGCGTGCCGTAGCCGAACTGGACGTGGGTCCCTCGAGAAAACAGATGCTTCACGGCTGTCTCCAGAGTCCCGAACAACAGGGAGGCCACTGAAAGTATCACCAAGCACAATCCGGAAGAGTCATCACTGCAGGCTTCACACGTGTTACGGATATATAGGGTAAATCAACCCAATTTTGGACCGTATGAGCAAAGACGCAAATTAAATTACCCGACGTTTAGGATGCATATCAATTTGACAGTTACTGAGAACCCTTGTCATACAGAGAACCGCAAACAAGGCTGATATCGAAACGCTCAGTCATTGATTGGGAAGCGATAGTCATTTTTGGAACACACCACTGGCGAACAGCCTCAAACTATCAAAATTAAAATGGTCAAGAATGATATATTACGACATTTATCACCATTATCATCAACAACAACAACAACAACAACAACAACTACTACTACTACAAGCAGGACGAGTAAGGGCCTCATAATATCGTGACACATGTAAAACATGTTCAACCATATTTCCAGATATTTCCACCACCATCTATCTCCCTTAACATAAACACGTGAACGTGTGTTTTGAAAGAAACAATTTGATAGTCTTTATATACTAACATTCACTGTATGTTCCGTTGGTGTACCACGTGGTCTGGCTGATCTGCCAGCTGTGACCTTTGGCACAAGTGTAGGTCATGACGGCCGGCTCAACGTGCAGTGCACTCCGGGTATCGTTGAAACAGTCTATTCTGAAATAACAGTATTGGTCATCAAAACATGACATATGAAGTTTGTAATGTCAAACCACAAAATAATTCTTGAAGGTGTGCATGTGGACCACACCAAGGGTAAGTCTTGCTTACCCTTACTATTCAGCCCTTATATACAACTGTAAAAGACTCTTTCATAATAGACCCGTGAAGATCCGGATTAGAATTGATCTTCAGTAACCCATGCTTGTTGTAAGAGGCGACTAACGGGATCGGGTGGTCAGCCTCGCTGTCTTGGTTGACACATGTCATTGTATCCCAATTGCGTAGATCGATGCTCATGCTGTTGATCACTGGATTGTCTGGCCCAGACTCGATATTTACAGACCTCCGCCATGTAGCCGGAATATTGCTGAGTGCGGCGTAAAACTAAACTCACTCACTCCCTTTATTTGCAAATACAAAGACTTCTTCACACAGCCCATCTACGCTTTGTTGACCTTTTCGGTGTAGAATTCCATCTCAAACCATCTCAGCGTTTGGTTTTGATTTTATAATATCAAATTCCAGCAACATAGCTCTGCAACTGAAACCACCGTGAGTGAAATTATCTTAATTTTTCATTTTAGACGACGTTAATATACCGGTCTGGAATATTTTGGGTGATGTGTTAGTATTGAAAACCGATCACCCATTTTCATAAAAACATCATACAAATATTCACGATCTCTAACTTTCTCTCCAGTCGTGTCAAACAAATCATTAAAATACCTTCAAAACCTTCATGGGTGTTGATATCGGTAACATTACCAACAATGCTTTGTTTCATGTGGAGTACCACAAGGCTCGGTACTAGGCCATGTGCTTTTTACCCTGTACACAAAACCCCTTGCCAGCGTTGTTCAAGATCATGATATTCTTCGCCATCAATATGTTGATGATTCACAACTGAAGATGTTCCACCCTTGCCGTGAGTGTCACCTCTGCTACAGATAGCCTTTCTGGGTGCTTTGATGACGCCAAGGACTGGATGTCCAACAACAAGTTGAAATTGAACGACTCTAAAACTGAATGTGTGCTGATTGGATCGAAAGCAAAACTGAAACATACAGACTTTAACTCTCTCACGCGGTTGGACGGTGCACCATTCCCTTATCAGAATCCGTCAGATATCTAGGGGTCATCATCGATCCAGAGCTTAGTATCGAAGGGCACGTCAACCATCTTGTCAAAACGTCATATTTTCAACTCAGGAACATCGGGAGCATCAAAACATTTCTGACACTCAACTCCACCAAAATTTTGGTTCTTCCCCTCGACATCTCGAGACTGGACTATTGTAACAGTGTCCTCTTTGGTACTCCCCTGTCCCTTACAAACAAGCTCCATCGAGTGCAGAACACCGCTGCCAGAATCATCTCAGAAAGTCAGTAACGAGACCATATAACACCAATTCCAAGGGATCTACACTGGCTTCAAGTCTCTCAGAGAATCACATTCAAGATCCTTTGCAATTGCCTAACCTACAAGTGCCTCAACAATCAAGCTCCTTCCTATCTCTCGGTGGGGTAGCCTAGTGGTTAAAGCGTTCGCTCGTCACGCCGAAGACACGGGTTCGATTCCCTACATGGGTACAATGTGCGAAGCCTATTTCTGGTGTCCCCCGCGGTAATATTGCTGGAATATTGCTAAAAGCGTCGTAAAACTCAACTCTCTCACTCACTCACTCACTCTTGACGTAAAGCACCGCCAGCGGTACATGCACGATGTCGCCTAGCATTTTGTCCCTAAAGCTTGTGTTCAGAGGATGGCCATCGAAATGTGGTACAACAACCCTGTAAAGGATGCCAGTGATGTGCCGTCCATTCAGATTTTGTCTGATCGTCACAGGGTACAGTCATGTGAAAGACACCCCATACTATCAATGAACCCCTGTCAAACGATCCTTGCTCACAGATATTACGCTGTGCATATGCAGTGTTTCTGTAGCGCCAAATACGAGTTTAGACATCAGTCATGAACAAAAGATATCTACTTCCGTCCGACCAGTGGACCATTCTCCTTTGACGTCAAATTCGTGCCTCATATCAACTTAGTCGTGCTGATTTGAGCTCTGGGGATAACAACAGACTTCTGATAGGTCGTCTAGCTCTATACCCGTCCGATAGTAGGCGGTTGGACAAACGATGTTGTGGAAACCACTGTATTTAAAACGACACTTGTCATGAACGGAAAAAGTCTTGGATTTGTCACTCGGGGTCGACCTGCAACGTCGTCAGTTTGCTGGTGTTTTCTGGCCAATCGGTTGATAAGCGATGGATGACAACCACTACCAGTATCTCTTGCAGTAGCACTCGATGACATGCAAGCATTCCGCATACCAATAACTTGACATCTTTGAGCTTGTGGTAGTTGAGGAGGACCCATATTGGCTCTATCAACAACATGAAATCAATTCATTGACCCCAAGATTATCGAGCCTGTACGAACTTGATATTCCCTTAATGACGTATACACGTATTGCATGTGCGCCATCGATGGTTGTCAAAATTTGATCGTAGTACATGCACTTCTAAAATCAAATGTATGGTTGCTTTGATCGTGAAGGGTCAAAACAAATTAGGGTCAAAACAAATTATACACACATTATTACGATATGTTGCGATAGAACGTTTAATCCCTAGGTGTTGCGATACTTTTTCCTATGTGTATACATAGAAGCATTTAATCTTACATGATAAGGTGTTGAGATACTTTTTCGTATGTGTATACATAGAAACATTTTAATCTTACACGATAGGCCCAGTCTCCGCCTGCATACACTTGTAGTGGGAACACGAGAAGGCCGAGGGCAGAAACACCACCACGGTAGTTACAATCACCTGTAAGTGCAGAAGTTGTACAGCACAGTGAGTGAGTTAGTTTAGTTTTGCGCCGCACTCAGCAATATGCCAGCGGTCTGTAAATAATCGAGGCTGGACCAGACAATCTAGTGATCAACATCATAAGCATCGATCTACGCAAATGTGTCAGCAAATGCAGCGAGCCTGACCACCTGATCACGTTAGTCGCCCACGACAAGCATGAGCCTGAAGATCAACCCCTATCCCGGTTTGAAGCCTCTTACGACAGTCACTAAGAAAGACAGGAGACTTAATGTTATTGAAGTCCCAAAGCCGATATTTGTTTGGGCCGGATATGTTGAAGGGTATCCCATTAGCAATATTTCACTATATAACCTGTATATATTTTATTGTATATGGGCCTGAGGCTTTCGTACTGGCAATAAACACTTGACTATTATCTTGACGAAGGCACTACAATAGGCTTCACACACAGAACCCATGGGGGACTCGAACCTGGATCTTCAGCGCGACGAGCGTACAATTTAACCACTAGGCTACCCAAACAAGGAACACACACACACACGAAACTAACTAAATCATATCCTTTGATAACTATGACTGCCTTTTTTCCAGTTTACCATTATTAAAGCAGGTTCCGCTAGTCTGAAAGCCTTCTGTGCCCATTTTCTACTGATCCATGACAGAAGTCGCTTCCGGCCGCGGGTGAGTTTGAGGTTGATGATGGTGAAGAGGGCGCCTGTGAGGCCACCAATGATGCCGATCACGACCGTAGGGATGAACATCAGGATGTTTATGTTAACACCCTTATCAATCTGTTAAAACCAAATTTTCGAGACTTAAAAAGTGAGTGAAAGAGTTTAGTTTTTCACCACACTCAGCAATATTCCAACTATATGGCAGCGGTCTGTAAATAATCGAGTCTGGACCCGACAATCCAGTGATCAACAATTTGAGCATCGATCTACGCAATTTTGAAAGGATGACTAACCCCGAACTTCACGGGTCGAAGACTCAAAAATAAACCTCTTCTTGGTAAAAGTGATAAAAACAAATGAATTCCGCGTTCATAGTGTAAAAAACACGTTCGAAGTGTTATTTGACAAGGTAACACGCAAATGTCACAATAATGAAATACACGGGAGAATACATTTGTTCAAGGCTGTCGAACTGTTTTCGTGAAATATTTGAGGCAAGGGAACCGGTAGTTGCATTAATCTAACAGCGCATAAATTTCATGATGTTGGGCACATCGAGATAATGTATCCCTTTGGAAAAGGCAACTATTTGAGGAATGTACTTCAAAGTTACACATTAATCAACACAAAACACAAAACAGAAAGGCAAACTATAACCTAATAAAGTGTAATCCCAAATATACCGTGTTATACATTTTTTCTGTCTACCAGCTGCAGTACAGCATGCATCAAATAGTTGTCTTACGGTAAGTGTACCATACTTCTTAATAAGCTCCTACAATCTCACGTTGAACAGAATGTATCTCTCCAGCTTGAATTCGCCAAAGCTACCAGTGTAGCTGAAGCCGTCGAAGGCAGAGTTGAAGAGGTCGGTGGTGAAGGTTGAGATCATACAACAGAAGAAGATCTGCCAGGACAGGGCCGTGGTCCAGAACGACGACACCTCCTCCATCGCGAACAGCAGCCCACCTACCGGGGCGCCGAACGCCGACGACACCCCTGCGGCTACCCCAGCGGAGACGAAGTTTCTCCTGTCAATATAAAGTGCAAGGGAATAATTAAAACTTAATTATTCACGAAAACAAATTCAATGTGACGTAAAGGAAAAACGAAATAAAGAAGAAAACTATATGAATGGACCACTGAATGGCCGTGATGATTGCAGGGGTCCGCGAATAACGACTATGTGCTTTATCTCTTGTTCCCTTTGGTACAAAGTGCGATGTATGTGAATTTTGGTGAGTATACTTACAATTATTGAATGCAGTCTGCTTGAAAGGGATTATATGTTGGGATTTTACAGGCGCTTCTTCAAATATATAATCACAAGACTGGGAAAGCGAGTTGGTTTGATGCCAGTTATGTCATTAATATGAGTGTGAGTGAGTGAGTTTAGTTTTACGCCGCTTTTAGCAATATTCCAGCAATATCACGTCAGGGGACACCAGAAATGGGCTTCACACAGTGTACCCATGTGGGGAATCGAACCCGGGTCTTCAGCGCGACGAGAGGATGCTTTCACCATTAGGCTACCCCAACGTCCCTTCATTTACATGAAGACAAGCGAGGTTACTGTCAGGGTGCCAAGATATAGGCGGGTTGTAGACGTTGTTTCTTTTTGTAAAACCCATTGGTAAGGTGGGGTGGAGGATGGTGCAAACAAACCAAGTAACATTTTTCTTAAGTTGCAGTATGTATAGTTACCCTACTTCATGCATGTATGGCCCCACTTGTTAGTGTAGCCCATTTCTGGTGTCCCCGCCGTGATATTGCTGGAATAAGCGGCGTAAAACTGTTTTTAGACAATAGGACAATAAATCTTAAAGTATGGTTTAACAGATTCATCGATAAAAGCGCAAGAAAGATTGTGCACATGATAAAGAAGTCGCAATGCACAGACAGCCTGGAACAAGCCTTTTCAGGTATTTCTGTAATGCAGACTGTCATGCTACGTTCTCGGTAGGGTACGAGACGTCACTGTGAGGAAAACCCATGTGCGCATACAAAACACCTCTTTCTATCCAGTGATCAACATCATGAGCATCAATCTTAGCAATTTGGATACGATGACACGTGTCAACCAAGTCAGCAAAGCCTTACCAGCTGATCCCGTTAGTCGTCTCTTACAACAAGCATGGGTTGCTGAAGACCAATTCTAACCCGGATCTCCATGGGTTCAGAAACATTCAATGGTATCGGGCGTTATGACAAGGTAGCACCATACTAATCCTTCTGACCTGTCTTCTGAGTTGCGGAATCTCTTGAAGAACGGCGCGTTGAACTTGAATGTCTCTGACCTCGCCTGACTCAGCCCAGCTCCGACCAGTCCTCTGTACAGGCCAGGTTAAAAATACATATTCTTGTTTCGACTGACAGTTTTTATATTTCCAGGTAGGGTGGAAGGATATATTTATTTCTATTATAAATCAAATAGTTATAGTTTACAAATCCTCAAAAGTAAACTTGTTTCTAATTATGATGTATAACATATATTTTACTCTATGATAAAAGTCGAAATCCGGGGCAAAATCGAAATTTGTCCTTAAAAATGTTTCTAAATAGTGCTTGATAAAACAATAACATTATTTCGTGTGGATGAGTGTAGGTGCTCTCGGGTCATAAGAAACAGAATACATAGTGATACGCATCATCACATTGGTTTTCAAGACAGACAAATTGGGGTTTAATCAATATGACCCTTGGCGGGTTTTTTTAAAAAAAGAACAGAAATTCAAATATTTATTAAAGGTATATTTTCTTGAAAGAAAATATTTCTTAGGTTTTACAATCACAAACATTTTCACTTGGGAAAATACAATGATGGAAGGTTAATCTGTAGAAATAATGACTATGCGGAAACTATGTCTCGGTGGAAGGAAGTTTAAATATGGCTGAGCATTGCATTTCAGCCAGTTTAATGTAACTGACCCTAAATGGATCATAGGACCCTCGGGGCCAACCGGCATCCCACAACCAATCGCTGCCACACATGACAAGAACTTGACGATCATTGTCTGGAGGTTGAAGATATGATGTACGTGGGTGCCATTCAGATAGCCGGTTACTTCCGGGATGCCAGAGCCACCTGCACTTGGTCTCCAGAACTGGGGGAAGACAAACATCTAATTATCATTAGGTCTGAAAATATATTAATCCATTCGTTGACACAGAGACCATATACCGACATGATCCCTGGTTCACAACACCCTAATCATAGAATCAAGAATACCTTATGACAAGAATATCTATGTACAGTACACCCTGATTATAATGCCACCGTTTGTCCAGGAGAAAATATGGCATTTATTCGAGGGTGGCATTATAACCAGGTAGGACGGTCAGAGCACTTGTGCAATCAACAAGTGCTCTGACCAGCCTACGTGGTTATAATGCCACCCTGGATAAAATGCCAAGTGATCGAACTGATGTCTCCTGTAATAAACCTTGAATGACTGGATAATCCCAGCATCTAGGGGTTGCAGGTGACCTGTTGGTGTAGGTGGCAGGAAGGGTATTGACGCATGTGTTATCCTATCTGGGATTACAAGACTACTTAAAGCATTACTGAATTTGGTCAATTAATTCAGTCGTGTCAATTAAACAATTAAGGTATGAATACTACATGCAGCCAGTGTAACTGGCATTATAACCAGGGACAAATGACTTTTGTTCCAAAACCAAAGGCAAATGACATTATAACCAGTTTGGCATAATAACCAGGGTATTATACAGGCAGGAAATCCGTTCTGGCAAAAGCATGGCATTATATCCAGTGTGGCATTATAACCAGGGGCACTGTATATGTATAAAGGATATACAAAATATACCGAGTAGCATTTCATCAATTTACTTGTAACACAGTCAATCCTGATTGTTAATAAAGTTAGTTCAAGAGATGCTAGTTCTCATTTGGCGGTGCCTATAATCTATCTTTAGTATAGGAGCCTTGAGTACGTTTTGCATTCAGTAAGTACATTGTGTTAAACAAAGGCATTTCCTGCTTTGTAAAATCATCTGTTTCTGATATCGTGACATTGTGAAACTGCAAATTGTTATCACCCCCATTAAATTGGTCTTTTTGACACTATATATTATTCCATAACAAACATGGGTTCAGCATGCATTGGTGTGCTATTAATGACAATGTTGGACAGTCAATGTTACCACAACGATGCCGGCACTAAAGGTGATGAAGATGACACTGTAGGCGACGCCGAACAGCCACGCAAGTCCCATCTGATCCTTCTGCAGGTAAGGAAGATAGGAGGCTACGGTTATAAAATATGTTATTAAATTCCTATTACGGAGGTTTGATCTGTATGTATTCTGTTTGTGAACCGGGATGATATAGACAAAAGCAATTCTTATACAGGACAGACATGCAATGCCCTGCATTATGAGAGTGAGTGAGTGGGATTAAAGCTGCCGCAAGTAATATTCCAACAATATCACGGCAGGGGATACCAATGAATAGCACTTGCAATCATAATTAGATTTAAGACGTTCCCTTGAAAAAGTATGTGTACCTTAAGGTGCTCACATATTGGCAATAAGAGGAAGTACCGTCTGAAAACACAGTTTTAAGTGACCGAGTGACATAGTTGTGAACGAGATTTCGGCTATCCAGGTTCGAGAATATCTCTGCATTTGGTTCTACAAGAAACAGGTTTTCATAATATGATAGTTTTTTTAATGGTGTCATCATGGGGGTTTCCGCTACTAAACCAGCCAGGAGAACTCACGTCCAGGAACGTCTGTATGGTATCCCACTTGACCTTGGCAATGACCTCGATCAGCTGATGCAGCAGGAAGCCAACGAAACCGACACTGAAGCCGATCATCCCCATCATCAGCCAGCGGTCCATCTCCAGTCTACCAACAGATGGTGGTGTGTGAGTGATTGGATGGGACGGGAGTTATACGGGCGATACTAGAATTCAAGCCAGATGGGAGCAGACAAACCAACACAGATCATATACTCTAGGACGTCCGGAGGTCGTCGAGAGTTGGTCGGGTCAGACAATCGCATCAGCGATTAAGCTTCAGTCACACATTCAGGATTGTTACTGTCATCCTCGACAGGATCATTCCCGATTAAATTTTGTCAAAAGTCTGTGATTCGTGGCGGGAACTTTGTAAAAGCATTTATTTAATCAAGACTACAATTAGATAGTGTTCAGGAAGCGTCCCGATTCAGCCGAATTCGTCCCGATTCTCGCGTTCTCAATCCGAATATGATCCGATTTGTATCTTCCGCATGTTAAAACACGACCGAATCTGTCCTGACAGTATCCCGATTCTCCCGAATGTGATCCAACAGATACGGTTCGCATTCGGCAAGATCTGGACAAGATCTGGACTCATTCGGCAAGAAACGGCAATGAAATATTTCTCCAAATCATGCGCGTTCATCACGACAGCCTCCCTGATCCACAGGACATCGTCCAGACACCGTCCAGACAACACCGGACACTGTTACGATTTTGATTCGATACAGCAGAATCTGTCAGAATATGACGTAGTCACGATTGTAATCCGACTGGACAAAATCGGGTGCGTTTCCCGAGTGTTACGGGACGGACCTCCTGTCGGGAGTGCTTGACCCACCTCACTGAACCTTTCCCGATCCGTAGGACTCAGTTACGAATGTATACGACTGCGTTCAGACAATGACAGGACATTCCGGATCACTGACGGTGTCGTGTCGTAACGCTGTCTGACCTCAAACGGGAGCCATAATCGGCTCTGTGTGAACGCCGCACATCGACACATCCTGTAGTCCTGCATATGTCCAACCTATGATGTCCAATCCATGATAACAAAATATAATGCGCCAACTTGCCACCAGACCTTCTGAGGGAGATTAATTACGAATCTATGGCGGAGAAAGGGCATGTCATACCGTTTCAAAGAGAGGGAGTATGTCGGGAATACCATTGGGAATTCGAAATGAGTTATAATGATATATTTATATTCCTCAAGCAGAAAATATTATATATGTTGAGTTACACATGCATGTCAGTGAAGGTATTGTCGACGTCTCTCAGAAGATGAATTGTCCACGTAAAACGACGTAATTCACATCAAACCCCTCATTACGTCGCACACTTCTTTTACTATTCATGTCCTTTTCAGAGGACAAGCATCAAGCATCAAAATATTCGAAAGAGGATAACAAACCAAAAGGAATCTTGGGGTATCTTCTAGTGGTGGTCCGATTAATTGAAATAATCGAAGATTGCTCACAGTGACTAAACGACCAAGCAATCGAACATGTTTTCTCGTAATCGAACACGACCGATCTTGGAACACTTGTTTGCATTAACAATATTTTTCACAAGGATGGTTTTGTCTGTATCATTAAATTTACATTTCATAAGCACTACAAGCTCGTTCCAAGTCATGATTGAATTTATCTTAAAGAATCAAGGAAATATGTGTTCCTAACATACTAATGATCATTTAAATATGCAAAATTTGCAAAATGGACTTTATGCAATTTGCAAGAAAACCAACTTACTACATGTTTTTTCTTTATTTTTTGTGTGCATTAACAAAAATAACAGGAACATTTGATAAGTGACGCTAACCAATTATTTTCGATGATTGATGGGTTGTAATGGACCAATCATCAATTATGAGATTTTAACCAATTCCCAACACTAGTATCTTCGAGATAATACAGTGAAAAAGCATAAACACGTATACACAGAAGTGTTATGATATAAATAGTATTATTACGAATTCAGATTTCCAACTTACACGATCCTCTATCCAGTTCTGTACCATACATATAAATAGAGCTGCGTTTCATTCATTTGTAAACCAACCTGCCGATAACTTGTTTTTTTATCCAACTCTTGTACACAAGGCTATGTGAGGGGAGATAATCCAAGCTCTCGAAGGAAGCCAGAGTTGCCTTCTCCTGCTCCGTGTACTTGTGAGTGACATAAACAGGTTCGTAGTCTCGGCCCTGGAAATAACACGATACCAGCTCAATATTCACTGTCAGATCATTGTGAACGGACATATTTTTTGGAAATTCCTATTTTGAATGCATAAAGTAAATAGTCACTCACATTCGGTCGAGAAGAAAGTGTTGGTAGCGGTACGACTATCCCAAGTTAACATGAAAGGTAGTCTCCAATAAACACTGGTCATTATAATACAATTTGAATTCGAAGTTTGCACTTCATGCCGCTGTTTCATTGGACGAGAGAAGGGTCAAATGACCCTGTAGCAATGTTTCATGGGCATATGACGTTCATGCGTTTTTCACGAGGCAGTATTCTCGAAACTATGTAAAAACATTCCGATTATTTCCACATTCACGACGGGGAACAAAAGAAATGGGAATCGAACTCGGTCTTCGGCGTGATGTGCGACCGCTTTAACCATTCGACTATTCCTTACAGGTTTCGAACTTAGGACTTTTCACACTATACCTAAACGGAACCTTAAGCATTCCACCTAAGAATTCATACTTAAGGATGAACTCTGTCTCAATTAAACGATTTTACATTATATCACTCGGCATTGGAAATCTCACAATTCCTCTTGAAACAGATAATTCTCCCTTTGTCTGGAGTATATACTGTCATGGTTACTAGAGATTCTAGACTGAATATCATAGATCAGCAATTTATAGAGAAATAATCAGTACATTTATGCATCACATGTCTCCACTGGTTCCACTGAATATAAGGGGCGGTGGGGTGGCCTAGTGGTTAAAGCGTTCGCTCGCGACGGCGAGGACCCGCGTTCGATTCGGGTACCAACATGGGTACAATGTGTGAAGCCCATTTCCGGTGTCCCCCGCTGTGATATTGCTGTAATATTGGTAAAAGCGGCGTAAAACCAAACTCACTCACTCCACTGAATATAAACAAACCTGAAATGATCACTTACTCTTTCCAATATCCCATAGTTGTCGTCGCTCACGTGAAACATCTGGTCGTCAGTCGGGGACGTGAACGCTGAGCCCGTTTCCTGTAACTGTTGGTGTACCGGCTTGTCTTGGGGGGTGGAACCGGTTTCACCCATGTCAGTAAACCTGCCATACCCGCTCGAGAAGTTTGGATTCTCCATGGTGAAGGTTTGATGCCTATTCTGTCTGTCAGGGCGATATCCTCATGCCACCCTTACACCTGTGAATGATTCCTACAACTGTCCATAAGACTACCTTAATGAATCTGGAGAGCGGAAGGTCGCGGGTTCGATCCCCGACCGCGTCATACCAAAAGACGTTAACATATGGTACTTGTTGGTCCCTGGCTGGCGCTCGGTATTAATGGGTACAACAAGGACTGGTCGGCTCGGAGTCAGTATAATGTGTCTGAGTGGGGTATTCATGCTTCACTGCGGCATGGTATCTCAGTGGGCTAGCACTATAAAACCAGCTTCAGTCTGGGCTAGTACAACCAGCCGCACATACACATACACACGCATGCACGTCGCCATATGAGCGAAATATTCTCAAGCACGACGTTAAACCGAATTTCACCTCACCTCACCTCACCTCACCTCACCTTAATGAATCTAACGTGTTTACTATGCCGAGCAGTGTTACCATTCATACCCCGACAGTGTGTTAGAATCGAACTTGGACCAGAGAACCAGTGCTTGACATCATGAACAACGGTTGCTGTAGTTGCACACGGCTTCTTGTTACGTCTCTTTGTTTCCACCAGCTAAATGTTTCATGATTTCATGTGCAATATACCAGCCTAATTGTTTCATAATTGTGAAACATTTAGCCTGATTCTTTCATGATTGTGAAATATAGGATACTCTCTGTTTCATTATTGTGAAACATATAGCCTGATTCTTTCATGATTGTGAAACATATTAGCCTCATTGTTCAATGATTGTGAAATATAGGAGGCTAACTGTTTCATTATTGTGAAACATATATTTGTTTCATTATTGTCAAACTTATGAGCCTGATTGTTTCATGATTGTGAATCATATGAACCTGATTCAGGGAGATGGGCAGGAATCAATAGAGAAGAGAAAGTGGCAAGTTCTGTTTGTCTCTACTTAACAGAAGTATACTTGAGGAGGAGATCCACTTTCGTATTATTTACTTACAATATCATGCTCTTAGAGTTCAACTACTGAAAATACAGCAATGTCTTTCCAATGAAATTTATACATGTAAAATTGTGAAAAACAGTCATCATTAGCAGAATTTATTTTCAAGGCCTCAGCTCTGAGGCAGAAGTAACTCAGCACCTGATGGAAGGGAGATAACCCAATCTCAATTCCACATCGTTCATCACTGTTCGTCATCGTTTGATGAATTGTTCTATGTGAAATGTTATGTATAGTATCATGCAATCTATATTTTGAAATCTTGTGTAACATTTATTACTGTCTTCTGTACAGCTTTTCACCAAGAGTACAATGTTTGTACCCTGGGCCTAAGGCCCCAATACTGGAATAAGGAATTGAATTGAATATGAGCCTGATTCCTTCCTGGTATCGAAACATATCAGCCTGACTGCTTCATGATCATAAACATAAGAGCACCTGTTCACGTCGTCGGGAAACGATGACACGATACAAGCCACACATATACACAACCCGTACATGATACATGCATCGTTTATAATTATCATTAAACCCAATACTGTTAAGCAGCAATATTCTAATGAAACAAATGAACACGATGACTAAACTAATATATATAGCAATGGAATAATAATGTTACGATAGGTACCCCTTGTGTGCATGCCAAGGTCAACGTACGCACACTAGTTAGTGTAACACGTACTGATGTTGAAATAAAGATCTGTATACGTAATCTACTGACGTCTTTAAAGGCACTTTGAACAGTGATCCGGGTAGAGGTGAGGAGAGGTGAAATTGGGTTTTACGTCGTGCTTGAGAATATTTCGCTCATATGACGACGTGCATGCGTGTGTATGTGTATGTGCGGCTGCTTGTACTAGCCCAGACTGAAGCTGGTTTTATAGTGCTAGCCCACTGAGATACCATGCCGCAGTGAAGTATGAATACCCCACTCAGACACATTATACTGACTCCGAGCCGACCAGTCGTTGTTGTACCCATTAATGCCGAGCGCCAGGCAGGGACCAACAAGTACCATATTTTAACGTCTTTTGGTATGACGCGGTCGGAGATCGAACCCACGACCTTCCGCTCTCCGGGCGGACGCTCTAACCACAACACCACGGAGGCGGCTCTGATCCGGGTAGAGCTATGCACAAAGATGTATATTATAACGGTGGATACGTCATACAAAAATATTAGCTATAAAGTTAGTTTTACTTACAAAACGGGTGGAAAATGTACAAAACTATACAAAACATACATAAACAGAATGTACGTAGAGAGCGTGAATAAAAAACCCGATCACAGTGACAAGGCTAGAGTGAAGATGTGTTCGGGAGTTTAACAGACTATTCGTGCGACGCTGGTACATCCTGCTATCTTTAGTATATATAGGTACAGCAAGTTGTAGAAGTTATAGTATTATCTGACATGCCATCGCGTGTAGCATGGTAGTATGATAGCGTTATCAAACAGCTGAGACATGGCTTTATATACACTCACCTTAACAGAATATCAGAAAGTGACAGTGACTCCCCTCAGTTGAAAAATCGGTCCTTCTTCCTGTATGTGTGTCTGTAGAAATGCTGCAAATTTCGATTAACACCTGGCAGGTTGGGTAGTACCGGTCAGTGAAGGGCAGTATAACTCATCTCGCCCCTGCCGTGATATCACTGTTATCATGTGTGTGGATGTTATCAGTGGTCGTTACCTTGTGTGACTGGAGGCTGCTCTAAGGGAAATAACTGAGATACTGTGGCGGACGTTGATTTAGCCTAGTGGTAAACTTTTTGTTCTTCACACTGAAGATTCCACACAAGGGTATAGTAAGCCTTGTGCACGCGCCGTAACACGCACGCACGCACGCACTCACTCTCACCCACCCACTCCCTCCCTCCCCCTCCCTCACTCACTAACTCACCACTGTCACCCACCCATCCACTCCCTCACCCACCCTCCACCCACCCACTCTCCCTCCTCACTCACTCTGATTTATGACGTTTGACGTTCGAATGGCTCGAATAACGCCTGCTTATAGTACCAGATGGTCAGAGCCCAGTCCCACTTTCAGTCATGATGGTATGATGTTTACTGAAAAAAGTCTCACGTTTATGAAACATTTGACTGGTGGCTCTCTACAAAGACATGTATCTTCAGGTTCTGAATGTAGAGTAACCAAGCATTAATAATCTTTAGTTAGGTACCCCTGAATGCGTACGTAATTTTGCGTTCGAAGTCTAGTGTAGCACGTTAAGTAAAATTATACTTTTATGTGTACTTTATTGTAGCCATCTTTACAGCTGCCATGAAAAGGGTTCTAGTAATGTCATTGTGTGTCAGCCTGATCCGTTTGTTTGTTGTTTAACGCTGCACCCAGCAATATTCCAACTATATGGCGCCGGTCGGTAAATAGCCGAGTCTGGACAAGACAATCCAATGATCGACAGCATGAGCATCGATCTACGCAATAGGGATATGATGACATGTGTCAACCAAGTCAGCGAGACTGACCGCCCGATCCCGTTAGTCGCCTCTTACGACAAGCATGGGTTGCTGAAGATCAACTCTAACTCGGATCTTCACGGATCAGCCTGATGTGAGAGAAAGTGAAAGTCTTGGAGGTTTACCTTTGTAGAGAGACACACGATCACATGTATGTTGCTGACAAACCTGGGCACATGATCAGGGCAAGGAATTTGATCTCGCACAAGATCTCACACAACTCATTTTGTCTCCTCCATCGAGTTTAATTGCGTCTTTCATGTGAATTAAAAAATGACACAGCAGGCTTTCTAGGGTTGGTCTTAAAATGTCAGAGTGAATTCGGTACTGACTTCAATGGAGACATTAGATGTTAATACAGTTCTGGCTGTTTCTAAAGTTTCTGCCTGAAAGCGGCAAATAAAAGACTCCTGTATCGCTGAAAAACTACCTGGGTAAAATCAATACAACGTAAATTATCAACAGATACCTTGGAATCCAGCAGGCTGAAACCTTTGAAATTAGTTCATTATTAAGAATGTTATTAACTTTCCAAAGCGGTATGTACACTGTATTGACTATACATGTGGTGCATCCATAACCATATTTATTTTATCAACACTTCCCTTGCTGGTGGAAGATGAAGGTTATCTGATCTTGGATCACCTGTTAGGCTTTCTGTTCTTATCATGAGCGCTGCTGTCCATCGCGCCAACAGTGCCACTTATGCAATGGAAGGAGCGTCACTCACTGTGATACTACGTCCACACTGATTAATGTTGGAGTGAGCGAGTGAGTTTGGTTTACGCCACTTTTAGCAATATTCCAGCAACATCACGGCAGGGAACACCAGAAATGGGTTTCACACATTGTACCCATGTGGGGAATCGAATCCGGGCCTTTGGCGTTACGAGCGAACGCTTTAACCACTAGGCTACCCCACAGCCACTGTTAATGTTGGAGTTGATCCTTTTAGTTGCAGACACTTTATGACAAAGCGTCAGCCTATTTTGTCCATTTCCATCAATAAAGAATTCCTTGACTTTTATACCAACATGGACAAGCTGCCTGGTTGTGTATTTGGTTCAAATACAGTCTACAAGAATGGAACGTATTGGACTTGATACATGCGAACTGTGGCATACAGTTCATCGTTCATGAATAGTCTCCACAACTTTTCAGTGACGGCTCTTATATGTATATAAGGGCAACTTGTAAATAATCAAGTCTTCATACATGCCAAGTTTTAGAGTATACCAAAGATCCTTCACAGTCAGTCATAACAAGTATGACTCCCGGGTTCTAAACATTTGTAAGCGGATCCCGTAACAACCAAGGGAGGCAACTAGGACCAGTGGACTACTCAGTTACCTCTGTCCCTTCGTTTAACCAGCTCCAGATAAGTTACTCTGATGGCAGTTGTTAACAGTGACTGTAGTTCTCAAGGAAACTCCATTTGAGCAGTGGTGGTGGGGTAGCCTAGTGGTTAAAGCGTTTGCTTGTCATGTTGAAGACCCAGGTTCGATTCCCCAACATGAGTACAATGTGTGAAGACCATTTCTGGTGTCCCTGGCCGTGATATTGCTGGAATATTGCTAAAAACAGTGTCAAACTAAAATCACTCACCCATCTGAACAACCTTTGACCAAAGAGGATCTCAACCCAGAGCAAAGAGCAGTTTTGGGAAACTCTTCTCCAACATCCAGAATGTATTTAACATGAGACATTTCAACGTATGAATGTTTTTGCAATAACTTCATTTATTTGTATGAAAATAGCATCTTGTAAATATCACTGTACAAAGTTGTGAACAGTCAAGTGTTCAAGTTTGTTATTCAGGTTTTCTGTAATCATGTAAGTACACATTGCCAAATAGCTTCAGGTTAGAAAACAGAACCTGTAACTTAAGCACTTTACATCTCATATGGAACAGCATCAACTGCTATTGTGAAGCAGTAACAAAACAGTATATATTTCTATATATCTGCATAAATTTCACACAGTTTCGGACCAGGTAGCACTTTTCAAACAAAAACAGGAGAACTTCACTCTTGTTTCGGGATTTGCAAAAGAAACCATTAACTTTTAGTGCATTAATATATTGTCTTAACGTTTAATCAAATGGAACATATGACTTTGTTCATTCATCAAATTGCACATAAGGAGATTAACCATTGCATAAGGAGTCATTTGTGCTTGTTCTTCAGCCCATTAACATATTGTTTCATCAATGTTTCAAATGGAAACATGTACAATATATTGCCACTCAAAGAACTTATGGAAATATAACTTTGACCATTTATCAGAAACAAAAATGCAAATTTAAACAATATGTAACTGTATATAACAATTCCTGTCCTTGTATAGGATTCTACTTATAATGAATGTTCTTGCATTAATTCACTTACAGTTCTCACAACACATGATGGTAGTTGTTAAGATAATATGTACAAGGGAGATAACTATGATACAACACGCTGTACACTGGAAATAAGAATATAATACAAGGGAATGAATTCCTCTATACTGTTCAGCCAGAGACACTTCCAAAGGAGATATTGCCATGGAGGGATAATGAGACTTCTCTTATGAGACATTGCTGAAATGGAAATAAATAATAATGCTTTGCAAACCATTGCCATACCATTGGTTACCATGGAGACAATGAAATGACATCACTAAGGCGCTGCCACTTAACAGTGTTACATGGTGAAATATTTTGGTCTTTTCAACATTGTTCTTGACAAGTCTTTTCAAAATTCCAAATTAACAACAAAAACAGTTGACTTTGTAAAATTGAAACCAAACCAATTCAATATTAAATTAGTCTAGACAGACACAATCAGTTGACAAAGTTACATCCTCCATTGTGTGATGTCATTGCATAATGACATCAGTTTCTCTTACAGCTGAAACAGTTAACCAAAGTGATAATGCTACAAAATTGGACACTTGGACAAAGTACTGTGACTATGTGTCCCAGTCCACCCAGCTGTCAATGGGTACCTCGTAAGGATGGGAAAGCCACATTAACTCGGTGTGCCTAGTAACTGCAAGAGTTGTATGGTCCCCAGGGAGTTGAGATTGATAATACAATGTGCTGTTTGAGATTGACATCCAATGATCGAGGGAAAACACAAAGCGCCTTTGAGCAGCTGAGCCGGATATTGGCGCCATACAAATATTAGCATAATGATAATAACTATAATACAAACTTACAGAAACATGTGTATTTTACAGTGCTAATGCTGATGATTATTACCTGATACCTGACTTTCAGGGTTTTGTGTAAAATCCAGCATGGAAAATTAGTTAAAAAATATTTGAACATATTGACCTGTTGGCAGGCTTGTTACACTTGTCTGATCACTTAACTCACTAACGGATTGCCTTGGGAAAAGTGCATCTGTTTCATATTGTGTGGGTGTGGGATGGTGGTGGTTTGAGGATGTGTGGAGGTGGTGACAAAGTAAATACAAATTTAGGGGAAAAAAACGTGTTGTTTCTATTGTTCTTTAGGCTGGTTGTAACCCTTCCGTAAGTGTCCTCTAAATGAGCAGGAAGCAAGATACCTTCAGATGTGAATGCATCAGAACCCTTTCTTTAGCTGTTTGTGTCAAAATGAAATACCAAAGTTTACAAAAGAGTTATGATACCATCAAATTCCATACAGTGAAACCTGATTTATATAACACTGTACCACACTATGACACTTCATCAAGGTCACTTTCCCATCTGAATCTTCATCTGGCTTATCAGTCACTGACATCCCTTCACTCGTCTTGCACGAGCTCTCCATGTTTTCATATTCCTTCCACTAATAACCTACCTGAAAACTGAAATCAACCGATTTTGTTACATTTCATTTCATTCCACAGAAGTGCAGTACTGGCTGGACAAGTGTGAAGCATAAGTAACAAAAATGGTTTATTTCCCGGACATCTCTCCAAGACTGAGACGCATAAACCATTGTGTAACAAGAAGATGAGTAACATTCATATTGCACAGACCAACAAAACAACAGTGGGACAACTTCCTCACAGGTACAAAGCATACTGACATCATCGAGGCTTCATACGCCTTAGTGAGAGGCATGAACTCATGAAAAATTGACATTGGAGCGAGTGAATGAGTGAGTATGGTTTTACGCCGCTTTTTGCAATATTCCAGCAATATCATGGTGGGGGACACCAGAAATTGACAAATGGACATTGGATGTATTGGTGATTCATCATGAAATCAATAACTTTTGGTTAATTCAACAATTCTGTTTAATCGTCAATCCTTATGATGTTCCTGTTTTGTTTTCATGGCGGACAGCACCAGGGATACAGGTTGTGACACTTTATATCCTGGAAAAATCTCTAAACATCCTGCACATGGCAAAATTCAATTTCTGGCAGTTATGAATAAACAATATGCTTGGGCATTAAAAATGATTTTATAAATTTGCATGGTAAATTGTTTTCTCGCAGTTAAAACAAATAATCATCTTTCATCTTTCCAAGGTAGTACATACTATAGGATATTACCTTTAATCATTTATGATGCAGCAGAAAATCATTTTTAACAAAGGGATGATTAAACTGGCTTACAGAGAGTCATAACAACATATTTAAATAGCTTGCCTTCAAATTGAGCCACAGTTACTGTGACAGAGTATGAAAGTCAGGGATAGTCTAAGGCAATAGTGAAATTTTTGCACAATTTCTTCATAAATTTCATGCAATTATACTGGCAGAAATAGGAGTACACTCCCAAAACAAAGACGGCTTGCAACTCTGGTATTGAGGTCACAGACTGTGGATTAAATCTTAATCAAAGCCAACAATTTGCCAACCCTAGGAACTAAGGGACATAACTCTACATAAAGACCGGCCATGCTGTACTTTGAGGAATGTGATATCTAAACACAGAGAGAGTAATCAAGCAGTGATGTTCTGGTAGGATTACGGAATGATGGCAGTATAGAATGACGCAAAGATGATTCACGTTGACAGACACAATGACTTGGCCATTTTGTTTTCTCTGACATTCACATTTAATCATTTTCACACAATATTTATTGATGATTCCACAGTGGATGAGTCATTAAACTGCATTTCTCACTATTTCCACAATGTACAAAATGAAACCAATAAAAGATCTGTCTCTTTAACCTTACTGGCCTCATGAAACCAATACAAAGGTCAAGGTCACTTTCATTATTATCTCTATCTCTAAGAAATTACAAAAGTTAAGGTCAGTCTGACCCAAATTTTACCAGCAGATTATTGATCAACATATCAATATATCAATATATCAACATATCAACATATCAATATGATACTTAACTCCATGGATACATATATCACTCAAAAGAAGTTTTAAAAAACTTTCATATTTCTTTGGTTACATCTTAAAAATAATGCGTTTTGAAAGCAGACCTGTCAATAGCCAGAGCTGACTGTTCATATTAAAACTACCTCCTTAAAACCACATTGGATGTTTGAAGCAAGACAAGGGTCACTCTAACTTTTTGTAAAATTTCCCTCTCTTATCAATTTCATGATTTTATATGAAAGAATTGGCTGTTCGCCAACTTCTTTACAGTAGAATATGTTATAAATTGAACGTCTTCGTCTTCAATTCCACTGGTACAGTCAGCCCCTATTGTGACAGAACAAATGGTTATACATCAGAGGTATTGTTGCTATCCTAATCCAGCAGGTTGTTATGAGATTGATTCGGAGCCTAGTAGTTCCTGGTCGTGGAGAAGACGCTCCTGCATCTCGATCTGTTTCTCCATGACAGAGTTCAGTTTCTCCTCAATACTGAAACCCATCAAGTCTTTCCGTGTGATGAAGCCCACTACCCTGTTCATTGCATCCGTGACCACTAGGTGGCGCATGCCCAGTGTCCGCAACACGATGTATGTACGATGTAACGAGAACTTCTCCTGCACCGAGAGAGCTGACTGGTTGATGTAAGGGTTCTGTAAACAGAGATTTGCTCAGATGTATATGTATGACTACCACTGTCTAGTCAATCACTTTTGGAAGCTTTGGTTGTTTATATCTAGTCAAGTGTGATAAATTTTACTTTAACTGGCAAAACTTCCACCAAACATCTACATGTAAAAGACACTGCCATATTAATAATGTCGGAAAACATTGTGAAAACCCTGAATAATAAATTTACGTCAGTCTTATGTTAAATCAACACTCATTTCAATTTCTATTATTCTTTAAATTATCATTATTAGTAGTAGTAGTAGTAGTAGTAAATAAAAGTATTTGTAACTCTTAAAAATGAAAACATCTGAGTACCAGTGAAGATGAAATTCACATCAGATTAGCAGTCAGGAAAATATTCTTCAACACCACAGTCTTAAAGTTCTCGAAGATGCTTCTGTTAGGGGCCTTTCATAATTTATAGCTAGGGGGTGATGGTGATTTTGATAGGGGTCACCCATTTTGTTCTGGGGAGGTTGGAGGGTCATTAATTTTGTACACATGTACTGGATGGGAAGGAGGGCAATTGATTTTGTACATTACATGCAGGGGTGGTGGTGGTAGGGGTGGTGGATATCACTTACTCTGTACATAAATTGGGAGGGGGGCCATTCACATTGTACGTTTTTCCATAAAACCCAACCCCTAACCATACATTATGAACGGTCCCTTAGCAGTGACTTTGTGTCACGTGCATACAGTAAATAAAATACAAAATGGTATGTATTATGAACCTCGCACTATAATGGGGAAACTTTTGTGCATAAAAACAATCTGGTATTTAATCAATGGAAATGGAAATCTGGTGTTATTTGTTTTCAAACCTATACCACAGCGTTTAATTGTGGCTAGACATTTAGTGAAGGACTGATTCGTAATCAAGAAAAATGTCTCTAGTTGATCTATGAGTTGACAAGACAGCACCACCTACCAGGTTGAGAAACATATCTCTGTATTTAGGGTCGTCGTGGTATCTATTGAATGTCTTCAATACATCTTCTGATTTGGGCAACCTCTCCAACAGGAGCTGGAGACAAACAATATAACAGCATAAAATCATCGCTACAATAAGTAATGATGGCAAGACACTTTATCTGACATGTTTTATAATTTTACAACATCGGTCACTTAAAAAGATTTCATATCATGTTTCAGATTCATCAGTCTAGCATTTGCAGACTAGTTGATAACTGTGCTTTTTAAATATTTTTAGTTTTTAATGAACCACATACATTTGAACAAATCTAGGTTTGAGGTTCTTGAGAGGTATTTGTATTCAAGTAAAACACAAATATTATGGATGACAACTTCTTCTTTACTGTATGTCACAACATTTCTGGGCTACTCCTTGCCCCTTCGTCAGGTGAATTGTAACAAACAAGATCCAAGTTGTCATCCATAATATTTGTGTTTTACTGAAACCTAGGTTTCACTTCAAAAACAATATTGACTCCGAGTTCAAAATCAATCAGTCTAGTAGTCTTTAAACAACATGTGCATTTCAGGAGAACTATAGTCCAGCTTCACAAAGTAATTAAAGCACTGGGACTACTGTAAGTCTGCGTTCAGTTATTGGAGTTACGATGGTCGTGGTACACACTATCACTGCGCATTGATGACTCTGAGATGAACATATTTAAGAAACTATTGCCATATATGGTCGTCCTTCAAACAGGAACCCACTGTCCCACCCTTCCTGTCAACGTACCTTCTCATAATCAACCCAAGTGATATCGGAGCCCTCATTGAAATCCGTGTGGGCGTCCGCCTGAAACAACTCCTCGTGCATGAGAAGTACCATCAGTTCAATCCTGCAGACATAAAAAACATGGGAACATACTGATAGCTGCGTACTTTGACTCAACACAGATTAAAAATCTTTATGTCTCTACAACATCGATCATATAGTGTGTGTCTAGTATTATCATATCAGCAAGTTAAACATTCTTTACGGTTACCGAAAACGTTAAAAATATATATCTTTGTTTGGAAAGTTGAAAAACCATTAGCTTTGGTAGGCAGATAATAAATATTCAGGAAAAGATAAATGCAGATGTTTAATCTTTTTTCACTTATTCACTTATATTTTTAAGTTAAGAAGTTTGGGGAGAAAAAGTGTTGATTTAGACAAGCAACTTTCTCTCAAATAAATCTTTGTGAGAAACAATACCTTGATAGAGAATACAGTGCGTCGGGTAGCACCAATAAATCAACCATTGAGAAAAGTCCTGCCAAAACTTTTAATTATCATTGCTGTCATATTAAAAGAACAAACACACAAAAGCACAATGGCAACAAACATTCACCTTGTAATTAACCCAAAGAAAACTTCTTCATTGTTCCTGTCCCTTTTAACCACAGGGAATCCACCATGAGAGTTGCTTAGCAACATCTCAGCCAGAGAGGCTACCGATTCCACTTGATGGACGGACACCACTGGTGATGACATGATGTCTCGGGCACAGAACAGATCCAGTTGGAGGCTGGGCACAAAGGGAAAACAAACGTCTTTGAGAATATCCTACACACAGAAAGGAAATTACCTCAAAGGGTATGTTTAACATGCTTAAATACTTTCCTACGCCATAATGTTAATATATCCTGGTTATAAAAATTCAGGAAACCCGGGAGGATTATGCAATAATTAAACTATACTTGAAGTGTCTGGGGAAAAAATTATGCAAGCCGAAACGAAAATTATTTCAACTAACTATTTTGGCCCAATTTCTTCTCAATATACACGCATTCTGATTGGCTGGGGGAATATTTCTCCCAGACATGGCTACGAGTTTTCTTTCAGGTTACAGAAAGGGAAGAGTAATTACGAATACTGAAGGCTGAAACATAGGTAACAAGTTGGTAGGGGAATATCATCCACATAACACATCCAGCTTAAGACTAAAACATCCAGCTGAAGACTGAAACATAGATAACAAGCTGAAGAAATGAAACATAGCTGAAACATAGATAACAAGTTGGTAGGGGAATATAAATGACATAACACATCCAGCTGAAGGCTGAAACATAGGTAACAAGTTGGTAGGGGAATATCATTGATATAACACATCCAGCTGGAGGCTGAAAAATAGGTAACAAGTTGGTAGGGAAATATCATCCACATAGCACATCCAGCTGAAGGCTGAAACATAGGTAACAAGTTGGTAGGGGAATATACATTGATATAACACATCCAGCTGGAGGCTGCAACATAGGCAACAAGTTGGTAGGGAAATATCATCCACATAGCACATCCAGCTGAAGGCTGAAACATAGGTAACAAGTTGGTAGGGGAATATAATTGACATAACACATCCGACTGAAGGCTGAAACATGGGTAAAAAGTTGGTAGGGAAATATCATCAATATAGCAGACGCTTGTGTGTCATATCATATCATGTTTGTATTTCACGATAATTCAAGTCCAATGGCAGTTACAAGAAGGAAATTTTTGCCACAGAGAAAATATTTCACACAACGTATGTAATTTTAATGTTGTTTGTCTTGTAGTATACAAAATCTGTTAAAACTCTAAGAGTCCCAAACCCCCAACTACTAACACATGTAAAATATTAATTAACCAATCAGCAAGAAGCAAAAGTGATAATACTCAGCAAGAATTTCTGAAACAATGTCACTGGTATCCGTGGTAATATGGGTAATACACAAAATAATACATAAGACAAGTCAAAGGAGGTTCACATACAGTTTCCCTTCGTTCATGACCCGAGGCTCTGTGTCGAGGAAGGGAATACACTTCAGCTCAAGGTGGGCGTGGAAGATGGGATGGGTGAAGAAGTCTCCCACCCACTTGGACACCATCACCGCCACCATGACCGGGAGTAGAACCTGCACATCGTTAGTCAGTTCCATCTGGAAACACAAACCCACTCCACCATGACAACATGTAGATGGATCTGTATGTTGTAAAACGTCACATACTAGTCAATTTGTATCTAATACACTGTTTCTTATAACAAAACATTAGGTTTATCAAGCAACAAAACATTAATAAGCAGTTCCATCAGAAAACATGAACACACTCCATACACAGAAAAGAGATATTATGGCTCGTATCATCCTGTACTATCTGGCAAATAGACTTCACTGATTCACACAGTTTGCAAATCGGTTTTCGATTCATAGCTCGGTGGTTATATAGCCACAAATTTAGTTGTATTGGCGACACGTAAGCGAGCCAATATAATGTTAAATTTGCGGCTATATAACCACCGGTATACGTCCCCAATCCGTCAAACACAGTACATTTATCCCCATTCTGATTCAACTCATTTTACACTGTGTTTTTCGTGAAAGAAATTCATTAATTAAACCAGGCCAAAGGTTAATCATATCACTGCTTGAACTTACACCATCGCCAGAAAACTTTTCAAACTTCAACACACTGACTAAATGTGACAATGATGAATAAATCATAGTGGTATAGCTAAAATGGACGGAATTATGATGAAACCGCTCCCTAGTTATCAGAAATGATAACGGCCCGCTGATTCCTCAATGACGGGCCATTATCAGTTCCGTTGTCAAATGACGTCACCACAGGTGACATCACGCTACATGATGGCGTAATAGATCTTATTTCATGATCTAACAGTGTTGGTTCAACAGCCTGTTGCGAGTAAGTTGTTTGAACTAACAATTAAATTTATCATACTGTTTTGTCTTTTTTAACACAAATTCCATCCATTTTAGCTGGAAAGGGGAGTTAACTGACCTAGGGCTTCTGTAATGACAATGTCCTGCAAAGCAGCGGTACCCCAATAGTGTAGGGATACATTCAAAGGTTTTGGGGAATTGGTTTTTAAATTGTGACCGTATATGGTGATTATAATTTAGGATTAAAATTTAGACATGTATATGAAGATATTCATCATATTTCAGAATAATAAATTATTATTAATTCACTCGTAAAAATAAATGATGAATTCCAATTGGATGATAAACTACGTTGCTTGTCAAACCTAAATTATTTGCAGGCAGGGAAGTTTTGGTCAGGGCTGGCTAGTTTAACATCTAACCAGCCCTGTGGTCTGGCTGAAATTTTTGGGAGTTTCATACCCTGATACTAAGTGGAATTAGAATAATACCTTACTGCTTTTTCAGGAATTTGTGTTACATCAACAGAGCTACTGACACATCACATTATTATTATACAGCGCAGCTGTAAAGCCCTCGTTCAATAATGTACACTTAATAACATCCTAATGAGAACAACTAAGGCATTTAGGAACATTCCATCATCACCATGGGAGAGGACCCCTGAATAACCATCTCACATTACACCCATATGGCGAATTCTACCATGGCTACGTGAATGCTCAAATTTGATTGGTCAATCAATAAAATCAGATGGTATCAATTTGGAAATGCGTCTGATTTCACGGCGCTTCACTGCGCACGTATACAACACTGCCGCACTACTTCAGCTTGGCCACCAACATGACTAATATCAACACAACAGACGTGATGGAAATGCTGATGAAACATTTATTAAAACTCGAAAAATACAATTATACGATTTCTCCTCCACAATTATTAGGGAACCTCACTATCATAATTATTGCCGACTATTATAAAAAATATTCAAACTCAATTACAATACACAGCCCCAAACATAAACAAACAATATCTAACATATAAATCAGAAAACCTTGTGAAAATACATCCCTATCTATCCCTATTTGTGCGGCAAAACGTTCGTAAACATTTACCTACCTGGTAAATGGTATATTTGTTTCCGTTTAGAATGGGAAATTCGCAAGATAGATCTAACGGTCAGGCGAAACACAAAATTTGCTACTCATACTGTTGCATAGTTCAATAGTCTCTACGCGTTCGGCTTCAAATGAAATTTAGAGACTATCAATTCGGTCTAACATTCATCTAATTTCCAAACACAGTACGTTTATCTCCTAATTGAACCCAGGCCTTTGAACTCTTCAACGTACAGAAAACCACATCCCTGAAGGCTTTGTGATCCTCATGGCATTCTGCCCGTTTGAAAGGGAGATTACACATATTCTTTTACATTGAGCGTTAGACGATATCTTCATGACATTTACTTCCTACACATGTTTACTTCCCCAACACGTTTTTTTCCTACACGTTTATTTCCTGCTAGTAAATGTCAAACAATTCCAAGCACCTTACCTGATCTCATTTTAAAAAAATACCAAATAAAACACAAAACAGCCTTTCTTCACTCCAAGAAATGGTCCCACAATGACGTGGTCAGTGTAACAGCCTGGTGTTAATATAACTTGCTCCTGTTTCCTTCTTTATTTCATGATCTATCCACGGACACTCACCATGATGACAGTGACAGCCAGGGTCAGTCTGGACACGCCCCCAAAGAAGGAGGCAGCCCCAATGAGGGCAAAGACCCCTGGATCCATCCACGCCCAGTAACCGCTGGTCTCAGAGTGGATTCCAAACATGGACACCATGGCAACGCCAACTATACGACCATATAAGGATCCTATCAACCTGAAAGTAGAGCATGTCACTAAGTGTATCCTGCCTAACACTGCAACATTACAAGAGCTGAATAACATCTTTCTGCCCTCTCATAATAACTGTTAACACATAATAATGATTAAGAAATCTGTAAAATGCAACAACAACCAGCGGACCAGCTACTTACGACATGGGGACAAGCTACTTACAGCATGGGGACCAGCTACTTACAACACAGGTGACCAGCTACTTACAACACAGGGACCAGCTACTTACAACATGGGGACCAGCTACTTACAACATGGGGACCAGCTACTTACAACATGGGGACCAGCTACTTACAACACAGGGGACCAGCTACTTACAACATGGGGACCAGCTACTTACAACATGGGGACCAGCTACTTACAGGGACCACAGGGACCAGCTACTTACAACACATGGGGACCAGCTACTTACAACAACATGGGGACCAGCTACTTACAACACAGCAGGGGACCAGCTACTTACAGCATGGGGACCACTTACAGGGACTTTACAACAAGGGGACCAGCACGGGGACCAGCTTACAACACAGGGACTTACAACATGGGGACCAGCTACTTACCAACACGGGGACCAGCTACTTACAACATGGGGACCAGCTTACTTACAACACACAACATAGGGACCAGCTACTTACAACAACACGGGGACCAGCTACTTTACAACATGGGGACCAGCAACTTACAACACGGGGACCAGCTACTTACAACATGGGGACCAGCTTACAACTTACAACATACAACACAGGGACCAGCTACTTACAACATGGGGACCAGCTACTTACAACATGGGGACCAGCTACTTACAACAGCATGGGGACCAGCTACTTACAACATGGGGACCAGCTACTTACAACACAGGGACCAGCTACTTACAACATGGGGACCAGCTACTTACAACACAGGGACCAGCAACTTACAACACAGGGACCAGCAACTTACAACACAGGGACCAGCTACTTACAACATGGGGACCAGCTACTTACAACATGGGGACCAGCTACTTACAACATGGGGACCAGCTACTTACAACATGGGGACCAGCTACTTACAACATAGGGACCAGCTACTTACAACATGGGGACCAGCTACTTACAACATGGGGACCAGCATGCCACGGGACCACAAGACACGGAGGTTCCAGAAGACCAGCACACAGCCAGGAAGAAGTAGGGGAAGGCTGTAAACAGCGTCGCGTAGCCGAACTGGATGTGAGTCCCTCGAGAAAACAGATGCTTCACGGCTGTCTCCAGAGTCCCAAACAACAAGGAGGCCACTGACAAAATAAGATTCAATAATAAGTAAATGGTGATGGATTCCAATACTGAATCACATGTAGTGGAGGAGCTGCTGTACCAGCTGAAGTCATGGACCACAACATGAACTCTGACGGCACACTCATATCACATCCTTCAGTTACAGTGTTGGGCACACTCATATCACATCCTTCAGTTACAGTGTTGGGTATAACACACTCATATCACATCATTCAGTTACAGTGTTGGGTATAACACACTCATATCACATCATTCAGTTACACTGTTGGGTATAACACCATATTTCCTTGAGCACAGTGGTTACCATGAAAATTAATTGACATAATCACTCAGCCAATGCAGCTGGTTAGGCTATACATTTCACACTAAAGATGTTTGTTACATTGTATTACTGCTATAACTGAAAAACCTGGAGGGCTGACTTTGGGGCATGGAATATTAATAGAATCTCACCATTATGTCTTTTGATATATGATATATGAATACTTGTAAAAAAGTCTCAAACTCCTGACTTGTCCCACAAATTGATCTTGGCTAAGCAACTTCTATGTGTATGTCAAAACATAGTTGTTACAAACATCTTAGCTCTGTGGAACTGGGATCACTATAACATAGGATGATGTGGACAGAGCACCAATATAGTCATATTGTCGGTGTTGCCATGGTTTCCATGTTTTAGTCTAACACAACCCGCTACTTAGCACGGGGCATGGTCTGTTCATCACATAATAGAACATCATTTCAAGGGCACCAAGGAACATCCTACTTAAAAAACAATGTATAACCAAAAAACCTACTCACATTCATTGTAAGTACCGTTGGTGTGCCAGGTGGTCTCGTTAACCTGCCAGCTCTGACCCTGGACACAGGTGTAGGTCTTTACAGCGGACTCGATGTGTAGGGCATTTCGAGTGTCATTTAAACAGCCTGAACTGTCAACAAAACAAACATGGTAACGACAATCTACACACTGAAGTAGGAAGCGACGTTAGGGTTTAAATTAGCAATATACATGTGTGCTTGTGCCTGTGAGATAAGATGTAAGTTTTACAGAGCTAGGCCACTGAGATACCACACGGCAGCTTATTGATGGTCAATCCATATTCTTAGGCCTTAAATACCAAGCACCAGGCAGGGTAACACTTACACAACAGCAGCTCCCTCTATACACTTACACAACTGGGCCAGCAGCCCCCTATACACTTACACAACTGGGCCAGCAGCCCCCTCTATACACTTACACAACTGGGCCAGCAGCTCCCTCTATACACTTACACAACTGGGCCAGCAGCCCCCTATACACTTACACAACTGGGCCAGCAGCCCCTCTATGCAACTTGGGCCAGCAGCCCCTCTATACACTTACACAACTGGGCCAGCAGCCCCCTCTATACACTTACACAACTGGGCCAGCAGCCCCTCTATACACTTACACAACTGGGCCAGCAGCCCCCTCTATGCACTTACACAACTGGGCCAGCAGCCCCTCTATACACTTACACAACTGGGCTGGGCCAGCACCTCCTGGGCCGATATCCCCTCTATACACTTACACAACTGGGCCAGCAGCCCCTCTATACACAACTGGGCCCCTATACACACACAACTGGGCCAGCACAACTGCCAGCATCCCCCTCTATACACTTACACAACTGGGCCAGCAGCCCCCTCTATACACTTACACAACTGGGCCAGCAGCTCCCTCTATACACTTACACAACTGGGCCAGCAGCCCTCTATACACTTACACAACTGGGCCAGCAGCCCCCTCTATACACTTACACAACTGGGCCAGCAGCTCCCTCTATACACTTACACAACTGGGCCAGCAGCCCCTCTATACACTTACACAACTGGGCCAGCAGCCCCCTCTATACACTTACACAACTGGGCCAGCAGCTCCTCTACACAATGGGCCAGCAGCCCCTCTATACACTTACACAACTGGGCCAGCAGCCCCCTCTATACACTTACACAACTGGGCCAGCAGCCCCCTCTATACACTTACACAACTGGGCCAGCAGCCCCCTCTATACACTTACACAACTGGGCCAGCAGCCCCCTCTATGCATCTGTAGGAGGAGCAGGAGAAGGCTGATGGCAGAAATAGCACCACTGTCGTCACGATCACCTGAAACACACACCATCACTGACAGTCATCACAGTAATGTACTGAACCGCAAAAGAAACATCGCCTTTCAAAACCAAATGCAAAATTTTGTTCTTAGAATGTGTTTTTTTATTATGATTGTACGGTTTGGTTAACATGTTTTTCAAACCAAACTGACAGTTAATACCAACATCAGTGTATTTTCTGATGAAAAGGCATATCAACCAAACACAACTAAAAAGGCAGACGTGGTAAAAGGTTCCATTTGACATTCGTGAAAATGAAAATGTGCATGCATATCATGACAACCCTACCAATGAAAGTGAGTCCAAAACTCGCCTGAAATCATTTTTGTTTTGACACAATCGCCATGCCACGACTTACGAGAGAATGGAGGAACCAAGCCCTTGGACGATTGCAAGTTGGCCCGATTGCACTGAGGGTAGCCAATCATTTCAATGTTCATCCACGAAGTGGGCGACCTTCAGTAACATCACAACGTCAAGACCGACAGATTGTGCACAATCATCTGCAGGATCGCTTCCCCAGAGTGACGGAAACAGCATGCCAGGCCATTGGGACTCACAACAGACCCATTAGTGCCAATACAGTGCATCGACGTCTGTGTGGAAGAAACCTCTGCTGTCACAGACCGTATCTAGGTCCTGTCCTCACCACTCATCACCACCAAAACCGACTGCAATGCCAAACTCAGAATCGAAATTGGCGTTACCATTACTCTTGCGCCACATGTTCTTCTTTCACTGTCCAGCGAGGAAATGGAGTTGCTTTTGGGGCAACTCCACATTTCGCGTGGACAGCGCTTCCACCCTGTGGTTATCGACAGTTGTTGATACCCTTTTCCACAGGCTTGGCAATGGAAAAGGTAGTTGTTGTGATGGATCCCCTAAATGCTAGGTTCACACGATCACGATTCGCGCCACGATTGAAATCGTGGTCTTAATTGTGGACTAATTATGCTAATCCTATCAAATCTTATCAGATCTTGAGGTCAGCTGTGGCAATCGTGTTGATCATAGTATAATTTTGGACGGTTCAAAAAATTTCTTCGATCAACTCAATTAATTGTCAATTGTGATCATTGCATCAGATAGTATTGCATCATAAAAAAGCGCAACATATCGCATCTAATCGTGCTTAGAAATCGTAGTGGTCGGAATCAATCGTATACAAGACAAACACCATGCTCTGTTGAGATGTGTTGCGATCTGCCATGATCTGTGACGCTCTGTCGTGTCCCATTGCTAACAACCAGACACGAACGACTCACGAGCAGATACGAGTTGATACGGGTAAATGCAAGTAGATACGAACATTGACATTATTTCACGGACGCTCACGATCTGTTACAAATTACCCTGTGGTTATCGACAAGGTAGAACTGTGCTTTTTTCTGATGAAAGCCGACATTGTGTTTTGACAGCCGATGGCAGAATGAGAGTATGGCAAAGGCGTGGGGAACTGTTTTCCAATGAGAGTATTGTAGAAAGAGACTCGTGGGATGGTCCAAGCATCATGGTGTGGCGGTCTGAACCAGAAAGTTGGCACCGTGGTGTTCCAGAATCTTGGTCATAAGACCCTACGTTGTACCACATTTTGGATATCACAGAAATTGCATCTTCCAGCAAGACAAAGCTAGTGCCCACACTGCCAGAGCAGCGTTAGACTTCCTAAGACAACATGGCATCCAAACCCTACAATAGCCTGCACTCAGTCCGCAATTAGGTCCAATAGAACCCCTTTGGGGCCAGATTCAGAGAAGACTGAATGACCTCCAACCAGGGCCGACAACTGTAGCTGGACTCGATCAGGCATTTCGCAGGGTATGGACCCAAGTGCCTATGGCCTTCATCAACCGGCTGATTCATTCCATGCACAGACGAATCAACACTTTTATCGAGGCAACACATGATACTGACTATGGGGTGTCTTAATGGTACCATTTTTATGATTTTGTTTGTGTGTGAACTCTAAATGTGATTCCCGAAAATGTGTTAACCATAATTGTCAAGTTTGAACTCAATCTTCCGTTTTGATTGTTAATTAGAGTGAATTAAAGTGTGTGCTTTATGGAACTGCTATCGATGCGACATTTCTTTTGTGGTTCAGTATATATTAAGGACTTGGAGTAAGCAGATAAGGTGAGGATGTCTATTCTTTTGGATCACAAAATATTAAGTAAATAAGCTACAGCCACCTTTAATGTAATGACATTAGATACCATTGATCGCGCAGGGCGGGGAACTGGAAGGCAATGTAAATCATCCATATTATTGATATCTCAACTTGTCATACACATAAAATCAAGCAAAGAAGAATGGCCAGGCATCAGTTGTTCATCCATCCTCAGTTTGACAAGGTACCTACTATCCATTCTATATGATAAAATATGCTTGTCCTTCTGTCTGCCTAGCCTATGTGTAGCCTGATTTTCATAGCATGATGCTAAAAGTAGCAAACTGATAGGAAAAACCTCACATGAATAAAATAATTCTGTGCTAAGTTTTGAGGAGATCAAGTGAAGGTCAAGTTGCCTCAAGAAATACTGGGGCATATGGCTCAAAGGTATTCATCATAACAATGCCATGATGATGTAATGACCCCAGTACTCCAGGGGGTGCATCTGATGGACCTACCATTATTACTGCAGGCTCCACAAGCCTGAAGGTTTTCTGTCCCCAACTTTTGCCAATCCGAGACAGCAGTCTCTTCCGACTGCGAGTGATCTTGAGGTTGATGATGGTGAAGAGGGCGCCGGTGAGGCCACCGATGATGCCGATCACGACGGTGGGGATGAACATGAGGATGTTGACGTTCACACCTTTACTGATCTGGAACAGACAGGGACAACTACAACTACAAGTGAAACAGGGTTTAATATTATTGAACTTGTATATTGATGTGTGTTTCCATGTGTCTGTGCCACTCTGTCTGTCTGTCTATCTGCGTGTCTGTGTTCATTCTTGTGTGTCTGTGTTCATTATTGTGTGTCTGTCCACACGTGTCTGTGTCTGTCTGTGACTATGGGTCTGTGTCTGCATGTGTTTGAGTGTCTGTGAGTGTTTGTGCCTGTGTCTATGTATGTCTGTGTCTGTGTTGGTGTCTGTGTCTATGGCTGTCTCTCTGTTTGTGTATGTCTGTGTTATGTCTGTACCTCTGTATGTTTGTGTCTGCATGCATGTGTTTGTATGTCTGTGAGTGTTTGTGCCTGTGTCTGTGTATGTCTATGTCTGTGTTTATGGCTGTCTCTCTGTTTGTGTATGTCTGTGTATGTCTGTGTCTGTGTTGTCGTCTGTGTCTATGGCTGTCTCTCTGTTTGTGTATGTCTGTGTTATGTCTGTACCCCTGTATGTTTGTGTCTGCATGTGTTTGAGTGTCTGTGAGTGTTTGTGCCTGTGTATATGTATGTCTGTGTCTGTGTTGGTGTCTATGTCTATGGCTGTCTCTCTGTTTGTGTATGTCTGTGTTATGTCTGTACCCCTGTATGTTTGTGTCTGCATGTGTTTGTATGTCACTGAGTGTTTGTGCCTGTGTCTGTGTATGTCTATGTCTACCCATGTCTACGTATGTCTGTGTCTGTACTAGTGGTGGTCAGATTAATTGAAATAATCAAAGATTGGTCGCTGTGACTAAACGACCAAGCAATCGATCATGTTTTCTCATAATCGGACATAAACAATATTGGAACTCTTCTTTGCATTACAAAATATTTTTCACAAGGTTGGTTTTGTCTGTTACATTTCATGAGCACTACAAGCTCGTTCCAAGTCATGATTGAATTTACCTTAAAGACTCCAAGAAAAGGTTCCTAACATACTAGTCATCCCTTAAAGATGTGCAATTTGAAAAAAAGAAACCGTAATAACTACCTGTTTTTCTTTATTTTTTGGTGCATTAAGAAACATAACCAGGAAAATTTGATAAAAGGTGCTAACCAATTATTTTTGATGATTGATTGGTTGTAATGAACCAATCATCAATTATGAGATTTAACCAATTCCCAACACTAGTCTGTACCTTTGCCTATGCCTATGTATGTCTGTCTGTCTGTGTATGTCTGTCTGTGTCTGTCTGTCTGTATCTGTGTATGTCTGTCTGTGTCTATGTATGTCTGTCTGTGTCTGTGTATGTCTGTCTGTGTCTATGTATGTCTGTCTGTGTCTGTCTGTCTGTCTGTGTCTGTCTGTCTGTCTGTGTATGTCTGTCTGTGTCTGTGTATGTCTGTCTGTGTCTATGTATGTCTGTGTCTGTCTGTCTGTGTCTGTCTGTCTGTGTCCTGTATGTCTGTCTGTGTCTGTGTGTGTCTGTGTGTATGTCTGTCTGTCTGTGTATGTCTGTCTGTGTCTGTGTCTGTCTGTCTGTCTGTGTCTGCGTCTATGTATGTCTGTCTGTGTGTATGTCTGTCTGTGTCTGTGTATGTCTGTCTGTGTCTGTGTATGTCTGTTCTGTCTGTGTATGTCTGTCTGTGTCTGTGTATGTCTGTCTGTGTCTATGTATGTCTGTCTGTGTCTGTGTATGTCTGTATATCTGTGTCTATGTATGTCTGTGTATGTCTGTCTGTGTATGTCTGTCTGTGTATGTCTGTCTGTGTCTGTGTATGTCTGTCTGTGTCTATGTATGTCTGTCTGTGTCTGTGTATGTCTGTCTGTGTCTGTGTATGTCTGTCTGTGTCTGTGTATGTCTGTCTGTGTCTATGTATGTCTGTCTGTGTCTATGTATGTCTGTCTGTGTATGTCTGTCTGTGTCTATGTATGTCTGTCTGTGTCTGTCTGTGTCTATGTATGTCTGTCTGTGTCTATGTATGTCTGTCTGTGTCTATGTATGTCTGTCTGTTTTTGTGTCTGTCTGTGCGGATATTTGTTGATGATATTGCGCCCGCCAGCTAAACCAGTGGTAGATATCATGAGCAACGTCGACACATAACCAACCAAGTCATATAGTCTTACTTTCCAATCAAGTTGACTGACTGACTGACTGAGTATGGCTTTACGCCATGTTTGGCAATATTCCAGCAATATCACGGCGGGGGACACCAGAAATGGGCTTCACACATTGTACCCATGTGGGGAACCGAACACAGGCCTTCCGCGTGACGAGGGAGCGCTTTAACCACTAGGCTACCCCACCGTCCCCCAATCAAGTTGAATCACCCCTCTAGGGAAGTGATTTAGCATTGGAGACCTATTTGATCAAGAGGTTAAAAAGAAGTTCAGTTAATTAATTAAGGGACTCTGTAAGCGCTCACGTTGAATAGAATGTATCTCTCCAGCTTGAACTCGCCAAAATCTCCAGTGTAGCTGAATCCCTGGAAGGCGGAATTGAAGAGGTCGGTGGTGAAGGTGGAGATCATACAACAGAAGAAGATCTGCCAGGACAGGGCCGTGGTCCAGAACGACGACACCTCCTCCATCGCGAACAGCAGCCCACCTACAGGGGCGCCAAACGCTGATGACACTCCAGCAGCTGCACCAGCAGAGATGAAGTTTCTCCTGCGAATGTCAAGATAAATTTCAGTGAATATTCTACAAGTAAAAAGATAAAAACTAGTGTTTGTCATTTTTCTTCCGGATGTATTTTTACTAATCAGTTTGGAGGATGATAATACTGTTTATAAACCTCCAGTCACATCACTCTATTGTCTTGCCAGGTTCTCCTTTCACCGAGTAAACCTCTACAGGCAGTTTCGCAAGCATTCATAGATTCTCCATGAAATCCTGTGGATTTTCTACAGAATTGCATGCACTCCGGGGATTTTCTGAGGAATAGCCCTTGACTTTGAATTATTCCTTGTTTTGAGGTTTGATAAACTTTGTATTGCTATCACTAAATATCACATTATTGAAAACTTATATGGTGCCGATACCTAGTTTCGATCCTGCAACCCTTTGCTTACTAACTTGGTGGTTTTATCCACGAGGCTACGAAGAATCGAGGTTTGTCAGTATGAACCATGTGTTCCTCACAAGATGGGTAGAGCGGGCAGCACACGGGTTGGGCATGCAGAGCACGTGCATTGCGTGCGTGCGTGAGGTTTTACCTATTCTTAGCAATAGAACAATAGAGGTATCAAAAATGGTCTTTACAAGTTGTATCCATGTAGGGGAGCGAACCCTCGCCTTCAGCATATCAGGCACATGCTTTAACCACCTGGCCACCCTTCCACCTCAACGTCAACTGAAGTAAGTGCTATCTCACCTGTCCTCGGAGTTCCGGAACCGCTGGAAAAATGGCAGTTTAAACCTGAGCGTCTCCGACCTGGCCTGACTCATCCCTGCACCAACAAGAGCTCTGTGGAATAACAGATTTATCTCTAAGGAAGTGTGTGCTTTAACTTCTTTGAGTGGTGTTTTAGAAGTTGGGAAGTACAATAATGACAAATTTATGGGTAATAACATCTCTTATCTTGTGAGTAATGTGTTGTGTTTAGGGGTGATGATAAAGGGAAAAGGTGATGTGTTCATAAGATGTCTGTCTTTGAAAAGTTTGTTAACGCTTATACTTCATTTCCAAATTGAAAGCTCAGGTTCCCCTACTTTTTTAAAGAGTATATTTCAGCCAGTTTAATGTAACTGACCCTAAATGAATCATGGGACCCTCGGGGCCAACTGGCATCCCACAGCCAATAGCCGCCACACATGACAGAAATTTGACGATCATTGTCTGGAGGTTGAAGATATGTCGAATATTGGTTCCATTCAGAAAGCCGGTCACTTCGGGGATGCCAGAGCCACCTGCACTTGGTCTCCAGAACTAGGGGAGATAAATAATAACTTTGAAGAAGACCTACTGCAAATCACAAAAATTTGTCTATAATTAGCTGGCTATAATTATTTTGAAATAAGAGTGTGAAAACAAAATATTTGATTATCAAAATGGAAGAAATCAACATAAAAACACATCTAAGTGCAAATGAGATATGAACTTAAAGGATTTGCACCTTTTTTCACTTCTAGGTTACAATTGCCCAATAGTTGTTTTATTCATATACTCATGGTAATATCCAGATGTTTCCATGCCAATGCTGAACAGCTTTTAATTAAAGGTCACATTCAACGTAAAACACAACTTTGCAGATTCTGATACCTTTCGGTATGGACATACCGAAACAAATCATCAAAAATGTTTTTTCATAATCAGCAATGCATATTATATGTCATGAATAAGTGATAATTGTGTTTTAATTATGTTTGATTTTTTGGTTGCATGTGACCTTTAAGTAAGGTTTGCTTTAAGTATCCCTGATTTTGATCTTGGATTAGAATTACAGGACGTCAATCTCACCACAACCACTGCAGCACTGAAGACAATGAACAGGATACTGTAGCCCACACCGAACAGCCAGGCAATCACAATCCTATCTTCCTGAAACATCAACAACATGCTCTATTAACTTAAACAGTGGGGACGGAGAAGACGGAGACTAAAGCCACAAGGAAATAGTCCGGGGAGTTTCCTGGCTCCAATCACCTGGGAAGATATACCTCAGCTGAGTTCATGTCATGACATTCTCACTAACATTCCACCTTCATTTCAGTGGCTTGTAGATACAACAGTTCTTGGCCAGGTAAACTTTTGATTAAATAATTTAAAAAGGGACTCACAGTTAAATGACACACAGTTAGCCAGAAATACAATAAGCTGGTCGCTGGCTGAAACATTAAGTTGATGGGCCCTGTATGATCTATGACTTACATCCAGGAAGCCCTGTATGATCCATGACTTACATCCAGGAAGCCCTGTATGATCCATGACTTACATCCAGGAAGCCCTGTATGATCCATGACTTACATCCAGGAAGCCCTGTATGATCCATGACTTACATCCAGGAAGCCCTGTATGATCCATGGCTTACATCCAGGAAGCCATGTATGATCCATGACTTACATCCAGGAAGCCATGTATGATACATGACTTACATCCAGGAAGCCCTGTATGATCCATGGCTTACATCCAGGAAGCCCTGTATGATCCATGACTTACATCCAGGAAGCCCTGTATGATCCATGGCTTACATCCCTGGAAGACTTACATCCTGTAAGATCCATGACTTACATCCAGGAAGCCCTGTATGATCCATGACTTACATCCAGGAAGCCCTGTATGATCCATGACTTACATCCAGCCCTGTATGATCCATGACTTACATCCAGGAAGCCCTGTATGATCCATGACTTACATCCAGGAAGCCCTGTATGATCCATGACTTACATCCAGGAAGCCCTGTATGATCCATGACTTACATCCAGGAAGCCATGTATGATCCATGACTTACATCCAGGAAGCCCTGTATGATCCATGACTTACATCCAGGAAGCCCTGTATGATCCATGACTTACATCCAGGAAGCCCTGTATGATCCATGACTTACATCCAGGAAGCCCTGTATGATCCATGACTTACATCCAGGAAGCCCTGTATGATCCATGACTTACATCCAGGAAGCCCTGTATGATCCATGACTTACATCCAGGAAGCCCTGTATGATCCATGACTTACATCCAGGAAGCCCTGTATGATCCATGACTTACATCCAGGAAGCCCTGTATGATCCATGACTTACATCCAGGAAGCCCTGTATGATCCATGACTTACATCCAGGAAGCCCTGTATGATCCATGACTTACTTACATCCAGGAAGCCCTGTATGATCCATGACTTACATCCAGGAAGCCCTGTATGATCCATGACTTACATCCAGGAAGCCCTGTATGACAGATGACTTACATCCAGGAAGCCCTGTATGATCCATGACTTACATCCAGGAAGCCCTGTATGATCCATGACTTACATCCAGGAATCCTGTAGGAATGACTTACATCCAGGAAGCCCTGTATGATCCATGACTTACATCCAGGAAGCCCTGTATGACAGATGACTTACATCCAGGAAGCCCTGTATGATCCATGACTTACATCCAGGAAGCCCTGTATGATCCATGACTTACATCCAGGAAGCCCTGTATGATCCATGACTTACATCCAGGAAGCCCTGTATGACATGACTTACATCCAGGAAGCCCTGTATGATCCATGACTTACATCCAGGAAGCCCCTGTATGAAGCCATGTATGATCCATGACTTACATCCAGGAAGCCCTGTATGATCCATGACTTACATCCAGGAAGCCCATGATCCATGATGGATCCAGGAAGCCCATGACTTACATGACCATGAAGCCCTGTATGATCCATGACTTACATCCAGGAAGCCCTGCATGACAGATGACTTACATCCAGGAAGCCCTGTATGATCCATGACTTACATCCAGGAAGCCCTGTATGATCCATGACTTACATCCAGGAAGCCCTGTATGATCCATGACTTACATCCAGGAAGCCCTGCATGACAGATGACTTACATCCAGGAAGCCCTGTATAGTGTCCCACTTGAAGCTGGCCACCTCCTCAATCAGCTGATGCAGCAGGAACCCGATCATGCCGACTCCGAAACCGATCATACCCATCATGAGCCAGCGGTCCAGCTCCAACCTGGAACAGTCATGTTTAAATAGCACCTTAACAGACACCAATCCTGGAGCTCTGGATTGTGGTGGGAGTCATTTACATTTGCACATCAATGGTTGTGTGAACAGTTTGGGAGGGTGTCACATAAAGAATTATGATCCTCACATGAGGTGAGGTATGTGTGTGTCTGTGTGGAGGGGGGCTGGGTGTGTGAAGGGACTGGTGGTTTAATATGTTTAGTTGGGAACTCTTCAGGTTATGACCTTTAACTGTCAGTTGATGGTGGTGGTGGTGGAAGGTTGTCAATAACAGAGAATTCGGTGTTATACATGTATTTGATATTGGGGCCACATGTGTCCTTATCCCACACATCAACCTCATCACTGGCAATATGTATGTAGTATTTTATCTACATTGCTTTAAAAAATCAGCTGAGGAAAAATACATGCTCATGTTCAAATATGAGAAAAAATCGAAATCTAAAAAATGCCCATTTGCCACATTTTTAGTGTAAGTCCTAACACATACAAGTTTTGAACATAACAAAATCTAATTATCATTCATATGAAGAAAATTCAAAATAATTTAGAATGGTTTCCACACATTTTCAATGTTTAAACTGTGCATATCCCATTGTCTGAAAGGTACCTAAAATAAAGAACTTCAGCAAAGCAAACCTACCTCGTAATGACCTGTCTCTTGATCCAGTGTTTGAATACAAAGCTGTGTGAGGGGAGATAATCCAGGCTCTCAAAGGACGCCAGAGTTTCCTTCTCCTTCTCTGTGTACTTGTGAGTGACGTACACAGGCTCGTAGTCTCGGCCCTGGAAATTAGAGATTTTACCTTAGATTTTTACACTGCAATACAAATGATACAGCACCTTAGCCTGGAAGTGTGGAACAGCAGTAGAGGCACAAAGCTTAAGAAATTATTATATTTTCTGCTTAAGTTCATAAACTTTGTTGGGATTCCCCAGCATATCATTGGGACACCCCTTTGTATATCTGTGAGTCATCCTTTGTAAACTGTTGAGCCATCCCTAATATATCGGTAAGTCATGCCTAGTATATCAGTGAGTCATCCCTAGTATATTGGTGAGGCAAGTCTAGTATATTAGTGAGTGAAGCCAAGAATATCAGTGAGTCCCTAGTATATCAGTGAGTCATCCCTAGTATATTGGTGAGTCAAGCCTAGTATAGCAGTGAGTCCCTAGTATATCAGTGAGTCATCCCTAGTATATTGGTGAGTCAAGCATAGTATATCAGTGAGTTATCCCTAGTATATTGGTGAGTCAAGCCTAGTATAGCAGTGAGTTATCCCTAGTATATCAGTGAGTCAAGCCTAGTATATCAGTGAGTTATCCCTAGTATATTGGTGAGTCAAGCCTAGTATATCAGTAAGTTATCCCTAGTATGTTGCTAAGTCAAGCCTAGTATATCGGTGAGTCAAGTCTAATATATCAGTGAGTCCCTAGTATATCAGTGAGTCATCCTTGGTATATCAGCAAGTCATCCCTGGTATATCAGCGAGTCAAGCCTAGTATATCAGTGAGCCAAGCCTAGTATATCAGTGAGTCCCTAGTATATCAGTGAGTCATCTCTGGTATATCGGCGAGTCCCTAGTATATCAGGGAGTCATCCCTGGTATATCAGTGAGTCAAGCCTAGTATATCAGTGAGTCACCCCTGTATATTGCTGAATCATCCCTAGAATATCGGTGAGTCAAACCTAGTATATCAGTGAGTCATCCCTAGCTAGTATCACTGAGTCACCCACATCTAGTATATGCATATGACACCCCTTATATATCAGTGAGTTAAGCCTAGTATATCACTGAGTCACCCGTAGTACATCACTGAGTCAACCCTAGCATCTTGGTGACCCATCCCTAGCATATCACTGTGCATACCCATGACTGATGATCCAAAACATCACTATAACTAAATTAGTCTGGATATGATAAGATTATTATCTTACTTCATAACACTTCATGACAAGAAACGTGGGAGTCATTTAATCACTGTCCGTACAGTGATTACAGTCAATGCTCCAAGCCAGTTCCTCATCATTCTGTTTTCCAGTTAAAGTCTATGTTCATTTAACAGCAAAATATCAACATCTACTGGGTGCAAGTTGGTATAAATATGAGGTTACACTTTGCAGGTATAAATATGACGCTGCATTTTGCAGGTTTAAGTGGCACCGGTGTAATCTCTACATGCTTAAATCACACCCTGAAGAATGCTAAACAAGTCATGCTTCCAAGATTCAAAACTTCCATACATACCATCATAAAGTATCTTAACTGTGACGGTGTTTTCTTGAGTCTGGCGTAATAACACATGGCTCTTCAGAAAATAATAGCAGTTCTTCAATAATTACATCAGAGAGCAGAATCCACACTAACATCCAATCGATCACCTATTTCCTTGTAGTCTCAACCAGTTCTAAATATCAGTTAGGCTACACCAAGTTAATAACCTGTTTTTCATCAAAACTCTCTCATCGACCTACAAACGATCAGCAACGTTTAAATATCATGTCAATCATCCCTGGAAATGATGATATGGCCTATTTTACACAGATTTCTTGAAAATACTCTAAAACCATAAAACTTGATATTTAAAGTATTTTGATAATGACATCAAATATTTGTGTGCACAAACTTTATTCCCAAAGCTCCACACAGTGGGCATGTCACATGTCACACACCATTGTTGAGGCCTTCTCAAAGAGTGACAAAACGAGTTTTTGTTATGAAGAGACATATTTTCTTCCCAGTTTACTCAAAAAGAGTTAGTTTAACGAAAACTTGTGATGAGACTGCCCTTTAAATATTGCATGTGATATCTTGGAACAGTGTAGTCATATATATGTCATATCAGTTGACCCCATTCCTTCAAATAGACCAACAATGAAATCCGAGTGTCCATAAATATCACACAGTGTCCACTTAAACTGTGAGGAAAATGAGGAAAATGGGAAGGCAAAGTCATAGAGTTCCCAAGCCTTTAAAATTTCATTTTTTGCAAAATAACCCAACATTGATCACTATTCATACTACAGAGGCCTCAGAATAATCTTGTCTGGACCAGACAATCCTGTGATTGATTACAATAAACAGCATCCCACAGTTGTCAGGTTATGTTGTCACACGATCACCAAAGTCATTGAGCCTGACCACCTCTCATATGAAGCATAGGTTGCTGGGATCAGGTAGTACGGTGTATGAACTACAATCTGCTCACTTACATCATGAAACAAATGTGAAAAATTCACAAAAAGATTTTTCCCACCAACATTCCCCACCCCCCAAATCCGCCTATGCAGTAGATGCTTGATGTGTATAGGTTTCCCCAAGAAATACTAAACAGTTTTGCTTGGGAGGATATTTCTGAAAACAAATCAATATTTATTGACTTTTCTTAATTTGAAAATAATTAAAATCCCAATAGCAATATCCACCAGTTTAGTCCATGAATGGCATCTATATAAAGTTTCATGAAGAAGTACTGAATGGTTTAGGAGCAATGCTTTGGAAACAAACATTTGGAGAAAAATCAGTACAAGATGTTTCCAAAAGTTAAACTCAATTATATCTGTATCACTATTCTCATCCAACTTACACCTTTCCCTTGATAATGTCTGACTAAACATGTGAAAAACAGAAAATTAATTTAGTTTGTGAAAAATGTTTTCAAAAACTTCCCTGTAATCAAAATCCTTGTCCCTCTGTTGGGAACATCCTCAGTGACCTTATTTATTTAACTTCCTTATACCAGAATATCAAATTGGCTACCAATATGCATAATAACTGAAAACACCTAAGAAATCTGATATATTTGGTCTTCAGCTACCTGTGTTTGTCATAAAGGGAGACTACCTCGATCTGGTGGTCAGGTTCACTGACTAGTTGAAGCATGTCATTGCATCCCAATTACTCATTACACCAAGTCAGCGAGCCTGACCACCCGATCCCATCAATCGCCTCTTACGACAAGCATGGGTTACTGAAAACCAATTCTAACCGGATCTTCACAGGTTTGGACACAAAGTGAAGTGTGTTACAGATGAAGCCTACATGAGTCATCTGGATATATTGGACTTTAAAATATACAGATTTAAATAAATTCGAACTAACCTGTAGAGGTTTCAGATTCTTTGAATATATTCCTCCTTGGGGTACTTATAAGCATTTAAATGTCCATTTAAATTCCCTACGACAGTCGTAACAATATTTGAATAAAAATATTTACAAAACAAAAACTACGTTTTGTCTTGTGAGACCACCCTTACAGGGCCCTCCGGCCCCCTACAGCCAAGAGCAGGTAACTCTAGACCGTAACCTCGTACCTCACTTTCCATGCTGAACGACATCAGACAGAATGTGGGGAGGTGGGTTGGAGTACCCCAAGGAGGAATATATTCAAAGAATCTGAAATCTCTACAGGTTAGTTCGATTCTTTTTTATATATTCCTCCTTGGGGTACTTATAAGCATAAGACAAGACTCCTAAAGACGGAGCTAAGGAGTGGCATTCTGTCTGCAGAAAACACCCCCGACAAGAAGTGGAATTTCCCAAGCTAAATATAGCAGAAAAAGCACACTTACCCGGTCCACGTGTCCACCATAGCCAATCAGGCGAGGGGCATGAGCCAGGGTCGGGGAGTCGAACATATGTAAATTGCCCAGAGAAACCTGGCTAATGCAAACTAACGAGACACACCCTCCCTCCCTCCCGTAATCTTTCGAGGCGAAGATAAGGGTCCCATAAAAAGCCACCAGAAGCAGAAATGCCTTAATATATATATATTTAGCAAAGTTTCCAAGGCCAGTTAAGTCTAGAGCAGAATGCAAAAGACATGGGAATAAAAACCATCACCACATAAAACCCGTCACCAAGGGAATATGTAAACAAGATTTTTAAAACCCCACACCAGTGTTAAAAAATTGGCATAGAATGGTTCACATAATAAAATCCTCGAAAGCTCAATCGGCTAGAGAGGTGGAACCATGCCCACTGGAGAGAACTGACTGACCGAACCGAGCACGCTCACTGGAGAGTCTGTCAAGTTGGTAATGGCGGATGAGCATTACTCGGACGGCTCCAAATAGCAGCGGAGCAGATCTCCTCAATGGGCAGGGCTGCAGCGTAAGCTTCGATGTAGCAACTGCCCTAACCCGAATGAGCTTTCAACCCTACAGGTGGGATCGCCCTGTTTGAGTATAGCTCATATGTATGGCAGAGACAAGCCACCGAGAAATGGTTGGCTTGATGTAAGCCAGAAGACCAACCTGAACCCGCCATAACAACAAAACAATTGGTTACCCTTACGGGTACCCTTGTTCGATTTGATATAAGCCTTAAGTGTCTTCACCGGACATCTAAGGCGTGACGCGTCGTGAGAGGTACCGGACAGGAAGGCTGAGTGAAAGCTGGGAGCTCAATAGAAGCTGTCACATGGAAGGGACTATCCTTCTTAGGGCCGGTAAAGTATCAGGCAGCCGTATGCTAACTCTGTCTTTGTGAAAAACAGTAAAGCGGGCGGGCGGCCGACATTTCGTGAATATAAGCCAACCCCGCCTGCCTGAAGTCACTACGCCACAAAGCGCCGTCTTCCGTCAACAGTTGGAGTGAAAGAGTCGACAGATTGTGAAACAGTGGACCGGACAGCCAATCAAGAGCGATTGACAAGTCCCACAGGGGACTAATCCGCCCGAACAACGGTTAGTTCTGTCCACGCCTGCTAAAAAGCTGCACAAGAGGGTGCTGCCCCAAAGAGGAAACACCGTCAACAGGAATATGAAGCAGAAATAGCGTAGA